GTTTGTCTGCTTCATTGAGGACTTCGTTTCCCATTTGGTACCTTGTGTTCAGCCACCTGCTACCTCCACCTAGCTTCATTACTTTACAGTTACTTGAGTTAAACTCTACTAGCCATTTGTTTGACCATTCCTTCAGTTTGTCCAGGTCATCTTGTAGCCTCTTGCTATGTTCCTCTATCTTAATCCTCATCACAATTTTTTGCATTATCAGCAAACATTGAAAGGAATGGGTCTATTCCCTCTGGGAGATTGTTTACATATATCAGAAACAGGATAGGTCCAAGGACTGAACCCTGCGAGATTCCACTAGCGACATCTCGCCAGTCTGAGACCTCACCACTCACAGTCTCGCTGTCTTCTGTTGCTTAGGTACTCCCTTATCCACTGGAGTGTTTTAGCTTCAGAGAACAGTATTATCTCCATGTCCAAAAACATAAGCATACTGAATATTGCAAAATAAAAATTATAAATTATGTATGTACAATATCTATATTACAAATTTAAAAATGAGCTAGTAGCTTTTATCGAGTCATGTTGAGTGCAAGTATCCACACAGATAAAACGAGTCAAAACTGCACTGACAGAATAAATGTGGGAAGGAAAATTAACGAAGCAGAATTCAGCAGCATGAGCAAGTTCGTTACATCGATGATGACCCAAGGTCTTGAAAAACTTACACAGAGAAGTATGTGCATAAAGGTGCAATTACAAAGAAATGTGTGGCCATGTGCAGTAACAGTAGTATACTTAGTCACTCTGCTCTACACGCATCACACGGCCTATGCGGTACACTGTGAACAAGTAGTGATTACTCTTATGCATGTAAACTATCAGTTTGTGTGCATGAATAAAGTGGTCATTGTCTTTAGTGAAAGACCAGAACAGCACGCAAAGGTGTTAATCGACATGTGAGATATACAAACCAATATGCAAGAGAGAGAAAAAACAAGAATCCCATTCATAGCGCACTATACAGGACAAATTAAAGGACACCAACAAACAGAGAATTATATTGACCAGACCACACACTAGAAGGTGAAGGGACGACGACATTTCTGTCCGTCCCGGACCATTCTCAAGTCGATCGATTCTCAAGTCACAATTGACTTGAGAATGGTCCAGGACGGACAGAAATGTCGTCGTCCCTTCACCTTCTAGTGTGTGTGGTCTGGTCAATATAATTTAGCCACGTTATTGTGACTCATCGCCAGCAAACAGAGAATTGTTCAACTGAATTATCTATTTGCTCATGATCAACAGATTAATTTTGTTGCAACATCACTTATTTCCAAGCAATTCTGCAAATTCCAAAATGCAACAACACCTCTGGCTCATGACTGCAGCAGAAGACAAATTTGAAATTAATGTAACTCAATAATTTCAACTTTGATAGCTAATGCTCCACATAAAGAGCAAGACCCATCTATGCTAATCCTATTTAACCTATTTCCATGATCCCCCTAAAAATATGAATATATTACCTCATGAAAATATTAATATACTTCTTCATTTAGCATACCTCATTATTTAGTTATTATACAGTTACTATAATCATCCAACCATTATACAGTGACACAGTTACTACAATCATCCAGTTATTATACTTAATGTAACCATCCAGTTATTACACAGTGACACAGTTACTACAACCATCCGGTTATTATAATTACTACAACCATCCAGCCATTATACAGAGTCCAATTATTACAAGCATCCAGTTATAACAGTGATACAGTTACTACAACCATCCAGCCATTATACAGTGACAAATTACTACAATCCTCCAGCTTTATACAGTGAGATTTATAGTCACCATCAAGTCATTACAAAGAGATATGACATGTTAAAGGTCAGGTACAATACAAAGTTGAACTAGATATGCATCAATCACAGTAAAGTGAAGGTGGCGTCCTTGTTCTCGGCGCCGTCTCACAACACACACAACATTATGAATACATTTCAGAACTAAAATGAACTCTTTCTTCTGTATACAGTGTAATACTGTATGGGCAAACAGTGGATGAGAGAGAGTGGCAGGAGGGGCAGAAGGGGAAATATGGTAGTTGGGGAACAATAATGTTGGTGGGGGATGATATGGTCGCTGGGGGATATGTCGGTGGTTGAAAAGTGATATGGTGGTAGCATAGTGGTAGTTGGGTGCGTTTGTTTTTACTTAAATGTGTTCGTGGAAGGCCAGATCTACAATTTAAGAACGGAGGGAACTATTAGGGGAAAGTGCCAAGCCATTGCGTCTATATAGCACTAAGAAGGGGGGGGGGGGTCAGGATAAGGATTTGGGATGGGACGGGGGAGAAAGAATGGTGCCCAACCACTTGGACGTTTGGGAATAGCCTCCCAGCCATTGTACAATCCATTGTTTTCAGATGAGGAGGGCGAGTGTGTAATTACCCAAGTATAGTTACAGGATGAGAGCTACGCTTTTGGTGTGCAGTCTTCCCAGTACTCTGTCATATGACAGTTTTAAAATTACTGACAGTCTTGACCTCCACCACCACCCTACTTAACGTGTTCCATCTGCCACACTGTTTGCAAAAGTGAACTTTCTAAACAAAAATTTGTAGCCTTGTTTTATTAGTTTGAACCCAATGTCTTTTTGTTCTTGAAGTTGCAGTTTTCAAAAAGTCTTATTTGTCAATTTTGTTAATACTTGTTATTATTTTGTATGTAGTGATCATATCACCTTCTTCGTTTATCTTACAGCCAGCCTGGGTATATATAATGCCTCTAACCTCTCCTGACAAGATGAGGTTAGTAATTTGTAGTTCCAGGAACCATTTAGTTGGATGTCTTTGCAAATCTTCCAGTTTACTGATGATATGGGCACATACAACTGCTGCATATTCCAACAATATTATCACACAGGCTGTGAACAATTTCTTTAACATTTCTCCATCCATGTACCTAAAAGCGATTCTGAAGTTGGAAAGCATACCACACGCTCTTCACACAATGTTCTTTATGTGGTCCTCGGGTGATGGGTTTCTATCCAGAATCACCTCTAGGTCTTTTTCATTGTCAGAATTCTATGAATCTTTTTATTGTAATTTGAAGATTGTGTGTGGCCTATTTACTCATATTTCACATTCCATAACATGGAATTTATTCATATTAACTTACATTTGCCATGTGTTGCTCAATACACTTATCTTGTTCAAGTATTGAACTACAAGTACTATACCAGTAACAATGAATATTACTGGTGTAGGAACTGAACCTTGTGGTACTCTACTAGTAACATTTCTCTAACCTGATGCATTGCCTCTGATCACTGCCCTCATTTTTCTGTCAGAAATGTTTTTTGCCATGTTAGAAGTCAATGTTATTCCTCCAACATGTTCCAATTTTCAAAACAACCTGTGTGTGTAATTACCTAAGTGTAGTTACAGGATGAGAGCTACGCTTGTGGTGTTCCGTCTTCCCAATACTCTTTGTCATATAACGCTTTGAAACTACTGACGATTTTGGCCTCCACCTTCTCACTTAACTTGTTCCAACCGTCTACCATTCCATTTGCAAAAGAACACCTTCTAATATTTTTTGGGCACATTTGTTTCCTTAGCTTGAATCTGTGTTCTCTTGTTTGTGAAGTTGCTGGTTTCAGGTATTCCTCTTTGTCAATTTGGTCAATTTCATTTATTATTTTGAAAGTACCTGTAGTGATCATATCACCTATTTTTCTTCTATTGTCTAGCTTTGGCATATTTAATGCCTCTAGCCTCTCCTTGTAACTCTTGTTTTTCAGTTCTGCAACTCTTTTTGAAACAAGTCTTTGCACTTTTTCCAATTTTGCAAAATTTTGGTCTCACAAAAGTCATGAACAATTTTAGTATTTCACCTTCCATGTAGTTAAAAAGTGAGTCTGAAGTTGGAAAGAGATGCATACGCTCCTCTCACAATGTTCTTTGTGTGTTCCTCTGGTGATAGCTTACTATCCAATATCACCCCTAGGTCTCATTTTTTATTAGAGTTCTTTAAGTCCTTTCCACATAATTTATAAGTTTATATGCATGGTCTACTTACTCCGATTCCACATTCTATAACATAATATTTACTCTCATTGAATTCCATTTGCTACATGTCACTCCAAGCACTTGTTTTATCTATATTCATTTGAAGGGCATTACAATGGTTTCCGTCTCCTATCTTAACCAGCATCTTAGCATCATCCGTTGAGGTGCCTACCTTGAGGTGCTTCCGAAGCTTGGCATCCCAGCGGCCCGGTCGTCGACCAGTTCTCCTAATCATCCGCAAATTTGTTCATATAATTCTGTATTCCTTCTGGTAGATCATTTATCTTAAGGATGAACATTACTGGTGCAAGAACTGAACCCTCGGCTGTAGCTGATGACTGGCTGTACAGCATTAACCACCCTCAAGCTAGGCGACTTGTTTCTTGGGAAGCACCGAGCATTAAGATCTCGTAATTATCAGTAAGTTAGTAGTATGGTGTTAGTCTGTATTGTTCTTTTTTTCAGTTAATTTGGGTAAGTGCAGTTTGCTGGTTTAAGGCCAATATCCTGTGATACCAGTTCTTGGCCACATCTTCTAATTCTAATAATGTACCTTTCAAAGTGTATCCTTGACATTATTGACCTTAAAATCCTACATCTTGTTCAAAATAATTAATCAAATATAAGACCTCATGTGTAAATAAATTTATTGTACTTATTTGTTATAATTTTTCTAAGAGGCATGCACACATATGTAAAACAAAATATAGTTCCAAACTTTTATTAAAATTATTTTTAGTTATCGTCCATATTTACACATGTTATTTGAGAACATTTGAAGATTTCCTTGCATTTTGTGGGTGAAGCTTTATTCAGAACTTGAGATGCTATTAGTTTTAATCAGTCACAAGTAGTCAATAACCGGCTCCCTCACCCTAGTTAAGATATAATTTGTTACCATGGAAGAAATATAATAAACCTAAAAGAAAAACAGCAAACAAGACAATACAAAAATGCTACAATCCTTACCATGTTTATCTTTCTCCTTCATCTTCTTCTCCATCTCTCCGGCTTTGTCCTTCACCTTACCGAAGAACTCTAGGCCACATCACCATCCAAAAAGCACCACACCAAAGTATCCAAGGTGGCAGAATCGGCAAAGCCCACAGAGAAAGTCGGGGGAAGAGATATACACAATACCACAATTATTAAGCACATGTCAACCCATCAAGTACCAAGAATAACTTAGGTAATGCATGAATGTAAAGTCCGTACATAGCCACACTACACACACAAGCTGGAAACTTGTTGAAGATAGACTCCAAATTGATAAAGCAACAACAGCAGGTGTAAATAAAGTCCATTAAACCCCTCATTAAATCTGTCCCCAAAACCAAAGCATACAGAGCACACTGTAAACTATGAATGCATTACACTTGGCATAATAAGAAACGACGACATTTCGGTCCGTCCTGGACCATTCTCAATTCAATTGTGAGTGGTCTCACAATCGACTTGAGAATGGTCCAGGACGGACCGAAACGTCGTCGTCCCTTCACTTGCTAGTGTGTGGTCTGGTCAACATACTTCAGCCACGTTATTGTGACTCATCGCCTGCATTTGGTCATCTTATCACTGTCAGTCAAAATATTGGTATTGGAATACCTCTGTTTAACATCTTTAGTTGAACATGATCAACTTTGAACACATAGAAATTAATGTTACTTAAGTATAACTTTTGCACCTAAAATGTGTCGATACATCATCCATGGGATCCTTCGTATCAATTGCTCATGGTATTCATTACGTTATAGAATTTATTAATAAAATTACAGTATTTGTGCTATCCATAATAATGTGAACCTAAAATGGGGTCAATATTAACTACTTCATGCTAATATTAAACACAACCATAGATCAAACACATTTTTTAATACAGTACATTTTTTTATCAACTTGTTGGTAAACGTTTAACAACTTTTTTTAACAATAAACAACAAATATTCTATTTGAAAGAATACTCAAATTACAAGTTATTAGCTACTTATGAGTGTTGGACCAAAATCTAGTGCTAAATCCCAAAGGTTATTTGGTTCTCAAAACAGATCTGACCAAGGTAACTGAACCTTCATTACTCTAAAGTGTGCTGCCATACATGATCGAACTCAGTACTGCCTACGTAAGTTAGTTTTCTTAGTCTACATAGACAAGCTAAGATCCAAATAATGAAAGGAAAATTATTCCGGATATTTAATTTAGCAATACTGAGGAAAGTGTAGTGTTCAAGCCAAATACTAGGCACCAACTACAAGACTACACAGACAAGGCCGTCACCAACAAACCCAAACAACACTACAACTGGCTCATGTAGGAGATGTTATGTGGATGAATCTGTATAACAATCACACGATCACAAATAAACTAAAGTACCGGCACAATACTGCCTAGGCACTGACCTGCTATTTTCTTGGCTGCTTCTGGGGAGGCAGGATGAGTGAGGATATTCATACGTTGATACTGACTGCTCATAATCAACTCGTTGGCTTCCAGGGTCCCAGGAGACATAAGTGTATATTCATCGCTCAGGAGTTGAACTACAAAATAAAAATTGGTTGTGAAAGCTAATGTTGCATTTACCATAAAAAGTATATGAAAGGAGGTGAACTTAGTGCCCAGAACGCTAATCATGTTAGTGGCTTGCAAGAATGTAATGTTTAATCGTCAATGTTATGTACTCCCACAATCCAATGTACCTTATTGTATATAAATAAAAAAAAATAGTGAGCAATGTGTATGTATGATGTAGTATTAAAACTATTGTATGTGGAGGTTTGTAGTATTAAAACTATGTGGCAGTATGTATGACATCGCATTAACATTATGTGGAAGCATGACACAACATTAACACCATGTGGATGTTTAATTTACTTTTTTCTTGCACACTGGGGGATGCCAGTTCTAAACAGGGGTGCAGTGCAGGGGTTAATCAACACTGAATATATCTCACTGATACCAGCACTTTTCCACATCTCAGCTTGTGCAATGACCTCGTCCAAGGATATACTGTGCTGTATATGCAAATGTAGCATACTACCTTAAACTCTTCACACCATAACAGGGATCTTCCTAACACCATCGTAAGTCAGTCTTGAAAATTTCAAGTTGATAAATGAAGTAATTCTCCAAATATGGTAGACAGCAAATTAAGAGGATACAAAATAAAATCATAGATACCCTTTTATTAAAGAAAATTTTTTACTCAAAAAATTACTCAAATTTTCTGAGTAAACCACCTGCAGTACACCCAAAGTTAGGCTGAGTTTTACCCGTGAGTGAGCACCCCCCCCCCACCCGGTGCACTCAAATATTTATACTCTTCCCAGTCTTCCCCATCTCAATTCTCGTGCTACGTAGTTCATTTTGGTATCACATTATTCGCAATTGAAATGCGCGCATTTTAAAACTAGTCTCATAATAACTGAACAATAAATGGAATTTTAACAAATATTTAAATTTCGGATGCAGCATGCATCCTTGAACACACTGAGTACAGTGTACAGTATTTATATAGACGCATTATGTATTATCGGTCAGGCAGAGTTATAAAACCTTTCAACTTTCGTAGCATTTTTGTTCCTCATTTACTTTAACATTCCATACAGCCACATAAATTTTGCCTGATATGAGGAGCAATTTGGGAAGACCCAAATCTGTCACCATCCCAAGTGACAGGTCACCAGCCCAAGTGACAGGTCACCAACTCAAAATGACAGGGCACCAGCCCATAATGACAGGTCACCAGCTGAAAATAACAGGTCACCAGCCCAAGTGACAGGTCACCAACTCAAAATGACAGGGCACCAGCCCACAATGACAGGTCACCAGCTGAAAATGACAGGTCACCAGCTGAAAATGACAGGTCACCAGCCCAAGTGACAGGTCACCAACTCAAAATGACAGGTCACCAGGTGAAAATGACAGGTCACCAGCTGAAAATGATAGGTCACCAGCTGAAAATGACAGGTCACCAGCCCAAAATGACAGGTCACCAGCCCAAAATGACAGGTCACCAGCCCAAGTGACAGGTCACCAGCCCAAGTACACAATTTCTAAGTTATGCAAGCTGGATTGAACTTTGTAATAGTGGGCAAGTTTAACATTCAACCCATTTGAAGTACATAAAAGAAGCAATGTAACACATGTATATAAGAAGTAATCAGGAGTAACTCACCAATTAGAGCTTCAATATCAAAGAAAAGAACATGGGAGTTGGCATCTTGCTTATTTGTGCGGAGCCCCTGGATCATGAGCGGGCACGTTCTCATCTTTGAGCTGTCGTGGATGTCCTGATGGTTGTTCTGCTCCCCCAGCACCTGCTGGATTCCCCGCTACCAAATAAAGTACCACTTTGAGTCAAAATAACATGGCTCCACACACACACCTGAAAATAAAGTTAGTGACAACGTTTCAGTCTTTCCCGAGCCATTATCAAGTCACGTGATATTATTGATGTGATAATGGTACAGGACTTAAACAAAACATCATCATTCCTTTATTTTACGGTGTGTAGGTTGGATGTCTGAAGTACGACTTTATTCACATAACAAAGATACGAGTCCTACTTGTCCAGATGCAACACAAATGGTTGAAGACCTTGTATGGCACAATGCTTATACGAGACTAGTACTCTCTACCTAACTACTATTAAGCAATACACAACAATACCATCCTGTGAAGAATCATCACCATGAGAGTTTACATTCACACTTATTTAAAATAATTTAATGAGCATATATTACTGATCATAGGCCAATTAAACATCAGTCAGTATATGCTTGTAGAATATTGTAATATTGCCAATAAACATCTAAAAGCAAATAAACATCTCTGTCGGAACAAAATGCAGCTGCTTGTGTCTCAGTGAGATGGATATCATATTATTCACATTAAATGATAAGAGAACTAAACTGTGAGTGCAAGATTCAGTTTGAGCTGCTGGTATAAGGCATGATGGAACTATGAAGATGAATGCACAATACATGACGAGCTCCTCCTTTTATAGATAAAGCTAGATATGGGTCTATGGAGGAACAATTTGAAGTATAAAGATTTATGCTATACATATCAAATGCTTAGGAAATATCCATATTATGCATCATTTATCCAATGCAAAACTATTTAGGTTAAAAGTACACATAGATCAAAGTATACATAAGGTTAAAATATACAAGGAAAAAGAAAATCAGCTGATTAGCTTGTTCAAATTGGTTATAAAAACTTACCTGAGCTGCGTGTCTAATGGCTGCCAAGTTCCGATGCCTAAGACCTCTGAAGAGATGAACAGCAGGGTTAGCAAGCCCTGCCTCCGAGCCAGCACCACCACTACCACTTCCTGCTGTTGTTGAATGCTCGTCACAAGCTCCCAAAACTTCCTCTGCAGTCACACCTTGTAGGACACGATCAAGATGACCTATGGGCAAATGTTAGTAGCTAGTCTTCTACCTCCTTATGCTTCCATTATGTTGGCACGGATAGCCCTCATAATAGCCTATTTGCCTTGTTCTTTGCACCCAATGCATTTTCCCCAGTAATGCATTTCATTTTCTATGTCTTGGTCCCCAGCATACAAAATACAGAGTACTGTACTATGAAAAATAGGGGCTAACAAATATTCATGTTTTTTATGCAACAGTAGATTAGGTTAGGCAAGTTACTTGTGTTCATACTTTTCTGATTAAGTTAGAACTTTCTATTTTGTATATTGTGGAATATCAAGACAACAGGCGGTTGCACCACTCCACCTACACACACATGCACACTTAACACATACACCAACAAAGAATGTTGCCTATATCTCATGAAGCACACCAATAAACTGGAAGAGGTGCAAAGACATGGAACAAAATGGCTTTCAGAACTGAAAAACAAGAGCTACGAAGAGAGGCTAGTAGTGCTAAATATACCAAAACTAGAAGATAGAAGAAAAATCTAGCGTTGAATGAAATGAAATGCCGTTTTCTGGGAGAGTCCCAGAGGCTCCTCGGAGCTATACCGGGCTGATATGTATGTATTAGACCATGGCATCAGTCAATTCGATTGGAGTTCTAGCCTACTGGAGACCAGGAGCCAGACCCTGGCCCCACCTCAGAGAGGCACGAAGAGCAATGGCCTATAGAAACCCCCCGTCTGGTTGGAAGCATTCTATGTCTCCATCTACTGGGTTAGGCACCCAGAAAGATAGGCATCATAAAAAAAATTCCACCTGATTAAAAATTGCTAACAAAAACCTAATCAAGCAGAACTCCACAATCTGAAACCAAGCATGACAGCACAAGCATGACTCCCCCTACCCTGAGACGGGGAAGGGGAAGCCCCAGACCCCTCATGTCGGCTATCCTAAACCAGCTCAGAGGCTGAATATCAAAACGCGAAAACTGCCAACCGTTATTCCCTCCCTCCCTCTTCCTCTCATAACAGAGGGAGCCTCTGGGACTAACCCAGAAAATGGCGTTTCATTACATTGAATGCTTTTTTCTGTGGAGAGCCCCTCCAGCTCCCCAGAGGTAGGGTAGTACTTACAGTTACAGGGCACCTAGGGAAGATGGCCCTAGGAGCATGCATCCACAGTACTCCGTGAATTACTCCAGGCTTGCACACACCACACAGCAGAGCAACACTGGAAAGGCACAGCGCTGCTCAGAGACAGGAGCCAGAGTTGAACAACAGCCACGTAACACATCAACCTCAGAACTGGGGTTGGATAGCCGGCACAAGGGATCTGGAGCTCCCCCTTTCCCCTACCGGGTAGGAGGGAGCTGCGCAGACAGCGGCACAGCGGCGCTTGTGATGTCATGCTTGTTTTCTTGTTTTCAGATTGTGGACTTCTGCTTGATAGTTTGGTTCTCGGTAGCAATTTTTACCCAGGTAGAGTTTGTTATGAGATGATTACCTTTCTGAGTGCCTACCCCAGTAGATGGAGACATAGAATGCTTCCAACCACACGGGGGGGGGGGGGGGGGGAGGTCTTTAGGCCATTGCTCCTGGTGCCTCTCTGAGAGGGCCAGGGTCTGGCTCATGGTCCCTAGTAGGCTAGAATTCCAATCGAATTGACTGATGCAAGGGTCTAATACATACATTGTGTTATACTGAGCCCCAGTATAGCTCCGGGGAGCTGGAGAAGCTCTCCGCAGAAAGAGATGATATAATCACTACTTTACATAGAAAATAGAACAGGAATCACCAAAATTGTCAAAAGAAGAAGTCTTAAAACCTGCAACTTCAAGAACAAGAGGTCATAGATTCAAGATAAAGAAACAAAGCTGCTCTTTTGCAAACAGTGTTATATAGTTGGAACAAGTAAAGGCCTGTCCCTGCCTCGAAAGCCCAGACTCTTGGAAAGAGGGAAGAGACTGATCAAGTCCACTGCAAGCCATAGGAAATGACCCAAAAATTCCACAAATCAAGGGACTAGAAGCTATGAAACTGAACAATCACCCCCCCCCCCAGTCAAAAGGGTGAACTGTGAAAGGGCCACTGTAAACCACAAGAAGCAGGAGCCTTATGTGAAGCACGAGCTATATGTCTGCCATCTTGAAAATTGACTTACGATTACTGGGACATTTTTCCTACGCTCAAGGTATGGATTTTGACAATATAGTATGACAAAAGTCTGGTTTTGAATATTCTTTTGTGCACATACATAATGCTTCATTTAACTCTTATACAATGGAAGGAATAAGCTTCACAATTACTAAATAAGCCTATCAAGATATTTTCTGTACAGCAAACAGCTGACCTGTCTCCATCTGCCAGACATAGACAGATCCGTCGTGGGTGGCAACCATCAGGAAGTCGTGTTCGGGCCGCCACTTGATATTGAGCACAGGATAGAGATGCTTGGATGCCAGAAGCACCAGCTTGCGCTCTTTGATGCTCAGTAGTGCCACACTGTGGTCCTCGGAAACACTGCAGATGCAGTTTTGAATGCGAGGCTGAAAAATAACCCTGGTGAGTTATCTTGATCTGGTAAACATGAAGCTATGAGGTTTCTGTACAGTATTTGCCAATATGAAGGCAATATAATTTGTAAAATTACATTGCTTTTTATTTAATGGGTTCTAAGCAAATTGAAATAAGAAGATACTCTAGAGCTGCCAGATTCCTCTTTTAGCACCTCAGCATGGCAATATTCATGGACTGTATTCATGGTTCTTGTCCGCTATCTGAGGAGCTGGAGACACTCAACAATCTATTACAACTAACCTTCTACCTTGCATATAACCAATGTTATAACCCATTTTGTTAGGTGAAGTTTTAAATACAATAAAATAATAAATTCCAAATATATAAGGGATGGTAGAAAAAGACTATGTAAGCAAGCATGGGAGTCCCACAAGGCTTCCTCGGATAGTATATATGCTTTTCTTAGAGGCCGAGTACCACCTGGGGTGCCTTGTGGGGTACCACCTCTACAACCACAGAGGTGGTATCCCATAATATTATCCTTTAAATGTATATATAAATATATATTTGTATTTATTCACTGGGACATGCACTACAACTAAAACAGTAATGGTCATATTTGCTGGCTTCTATGAACAGTTTACATAATTCTGCACAAATATGATACAAATTTTGTAAAATTTGTGACCTGATGATTTCACAGGGCATTTCACAAACGTGAAATATATAAGTGGATAACATACTACAAAGGTGAAAGTCAGATATTCACTATCAGAAGTGGAACTTCAGCTTATGGTCATTTTATTTGGTTATGTGTAAATGCAAGTGATTAAACCTTCAGCTACTCACTGTACAGGTAGGTGGTGGGACCAGCAGCTGTAACACTTGACCTGCTTGGACTACAAATCTGTGAACCAGATTGCCTGTGTACATATCCCATACATTGATGGAGAAATCAATGCCTCCCGATACAAGGTGGGCCACGTCATAGCGGGAACTCTCACCGTGGGGATAGAGGAGACAGTTAACACGTCCCTGGTGGCCACGTAACACCATTGGCTGTGCCCAATCTGGAATAATAATGAAGGCTGAAAACAGCTTGTAGAGAGCGTAGGAAGACAGTTTGTAGAGACAGTACGAGACACAGTTTACAGGGAGGGTACGAGAAATTAAAAGAAAGGGCATTAATTAACCCCTGAGCTGTGTACCTGTTACATGTGACAGCCCTGTGATGCACTAGTAAAATAATTTAGATTTTTTTTCAATTCTAATACTGTTAAGACTATACAAAAACCATATGGTTGCCACTGTACCATCTTACCAATGTGAATGCTTCTCAACATATTCACTTCGTGTCTGTCCTTCTGATGCACTGCTAACATTGCCACTTTTTTTTCATTTGATATTCACCTACTGAAATACTTTGATCTAACACTGGCATTTCTCTCTCTTGTAACTTTACTGTACCACATACTCCAAACTTATGTTCAAGTAGGAACCTAGTTTGCAAGGGACTGGTGTAATAATTGTTTGTAATCACAATAGTTTATAATCACAGTAAAGAAACACTATCATCAGAGACAAGGCTACTTACATCAGTACTCACTCATTCTCAAAGCATATTCAGAAATTTACAATCATAATAAAGAAACACAATCATCAAAGAGGTTTCAACTGAACAATTCAGGTTGGTATTCTACAACCTAGATGCCTACTGTGGTACTGATGGTGTTTTCCATGAAGAAGGTGTAGCATGATGGTCTCTGTGGCTGGGACCAGGATGATGGAGCCGTCCTCACGACCACAAGCAAGCCGACCCTGAAGAGGCAGGAACAGGCTGGCCGTGATCCTTGGGGGATTCCTCTCTCCCTCAAGCTGGTCCAATACACCTGTTATGCAAAGAAATAATGAAAACAATTTTTCCTATACTAACCCTTAAACAATTCCAGTTGCTTTATGCAAATATCGCTCTGTGTTTGAATCATCAAATGATATGTACAGTGAAACCTCGGTTGTCGAACGTCCCTCTTTACGAATTTTTTGGGTTACGGGCTCAATTTTTTCGTAAAATTTGAGTCGGTTTACGAACTTTGCCTTGCTTTGCGAATTTGTTGATACACGTATGGGTCGACCAAGCGTGCAGTTCCTGGTGTCACAGGCAACCACCCTTAAGTTTACCGGTGCCTCCCGCCTAGTAACAATCGCACTTGAATCCTTCGTAAATAAAATTCATTTTTTGGGGGTCATTTTTCATTTCTAAACATAAAAGTAATTATTATATACCATGCCATGGGTTCCAAGAATGTCAGTGGCAAGGATCAACCTAAGAAAATACACATAAGGATGACCATAGAGGAAAAACAAGTCTATGGAAAGGTTTTTAGTGAGACAAACAAGTAGTGAGCCACAACCAGGTCCTAGTGGTATGCAGGCAAAACGTAGGAGAGAGTACCCCAGAGAGGTCATCACTGCCTGATGTTATAATGGAAGGGGACTCCCTTTCCAAACACTAACACCTTATCTCTTTCTCTCCCCCCCGCTCCTCCTCACCGTCTTCCATATGCCAACAAGAGTCATCAATAAAGTTATAACTTGTATATACTATAGTACAAAATATTTGTATGTATTATGTATGAAATGTATTTTGAAGTTAATATTTTTGGGAGTGTGGAACGGATTAATTCAATATTCATTATTATATGAGAAAATTCGTTTCGGTTTGCGAATTTTCTGTTTATGAGACGTCTCTGGAAACGGATTAAATTCGAAAACCAAGGTACCACTGTATTTAGAGTTATATATACCAAGTATATTTTTTGTGTGCACTATGATGAAGAATTTTTAAATATCCAAGCTGTTTGTGGATAATCAAAGAGCTAAATTTTTAGTAGAACATAAAAGAAAATATATAAATGTAACCATCTTAGTGGCTTATTGGATAGAAATAAGATAGAAAGTATTGGATAGAAAGAAAAGAGGAATGTTTTAACAGCAGAGGACAATTTTTAGCCTACCGATTGGGGATGGGATCATGGCAGACCAAGCTTTCATCACCGAGTGATTGAGAGTTGGTGGAAAGACGAGAGGTGCGAAGGGCCGTACTTGGTTGATCTGTTGAAGCTGATGTTCCGATACATCTGCCAGGCGCCACAACATTACCTATATGCCAAGAATTTGCAGATTATAACGGTGATTGCCACAGCTTTTAAAAAGCATTCATTCATTTTAAAATTAGGTAAAACAAGCTTTGTTATGAATAGAAAATTTTATTTTCTGAATACAGTCTACTAGTTAACCCCAATATTAAGTCAGTACTCTTGGCTCCTTTACACAAAATCTTCTCTTAATCATATAATAAATTTATAACTACACTTTTAAATATTTCATGTGTGCCAAACTAGCACTCTTATTGTCAACTAACTTTTACATTGCATCCCATTTTCATAAACAGTCCATTTTATATAAATACGTTAAGTGGAACAAACAGTATTAACCTAATTCTTACAACCAAAGTACAATGTCAATCCCACCATCAGCAAAAAGTCCTTGCTGAGAATACATCACAATGAAGTACTGAAAATAAGCAACTCGCACAAATGAAAAGAATGAAAAGTGGTAATGTTTTGGACCCTTATGAATTTGTGACTTGATAAGGGTCCAGGAGGAGCCAAAACACTTTCACTTTCCTCTTTTTCCATACGTGTGGATTGGGCTATTTATAAAGCTCTTCTTTCTCCTAATATAAAGTTTCTGATTTGACATCTAAGAGGTGACATTTCCACATTGTGGAAATTATACAGTACTGTAGTTTCATTTTTAGCTGAAACAGACTCAAGTCAGCAGGAAGGTAGGTAGAGTCTTAGTTACTTTAACCTTTTGGGACATCTATTATTATCTAACTAAACTGACACACTTCGACTCAAGTCACGTCCCCATGTGACTCAAGGTTTCTAAATGTGACTAAATCTGTTTATATTTACAAAAAGAGCATATTTATTATTCATTATTTTCATGGTGCAGTTTACATACTAGAAATCTGTGGAACATTAACCTGGCCTGCACAGTCTCCCTGTAGAACATTAACCTGGTCTGTACAGTCTCCCTGTAGAACATTAACCTGGCCTGCACAGTCTCCCTGTAGAACATTAACCTGGCCTGTACAGTCTCCCTGTAGAACATTACCCTGGCCTGCACAGTCTCCCTGTAGAACATTAACCTGGCCTGTACAGTCTCCCTGTAGAACATTAACCTGGCCTGCACAGTCTCCCTGTAGAACATTAACCTGGCCTGCACAGTCTCCCTGTAGAACATTAACCTGGCCTGTACAGTCTCCCTGTAGAACATTACCCTGGCCTGTACAGTCTCCCTGTAGAACATTACCCTGGCCTGCACAGTCTCCCTGTAGAACATTAACCTGGCCTGTACAGTCTCCCTGTAGAACATTAACCTGGCCTGCACAGTCTCCCTGTAGAACATTAACCTGGACTGAAAATTCCCAAGCCTACTAGTGCACTGGCTTATATTCAATTGTTCATCACGCTTTGTACGCCTCGCAGTTATTCCGGATGGCCAATGAAAATGTATCAGATATTTGGACCCCAGTGAAGGTGAGTGAAATGGCGCGATTCCTAGGACTGTTCATATTGATGGGCATAATTAGGCTCCCAGCTATGAGGATGTATTGGCAAACAGCAAAGCCATGGCATGCTCGTTTCTTCAGCTTGTTCATGCCGTCCAGACGATTCCAGCATATAAACCAGTTTTTCCACACATTCAATACCAATGCAGTGCCTGTGAACAATCGTGATAAGATGATAAAAGTGAGACCAGTGATGGATTACTTGAAAGAGAGGTTTGCTCAAGTTTACATCCCCAAGAAAGAGTTGTGTTTGGATGAGGGTACAATGGCATGGCGAGGCCGACTATCCTTCAAAGTGTACAATCCAAACAAACCAGACAAGTATGGTGTGAAACTTTATATGCTTGCTGAATCTGTCTCTGGGTACATATATGACTTTGACGTATACTCAGGTATTGGTAAGACGATAGTGGATACAGTAACGGGGTTGATGCAGCCTTTAGTGAACCAGGGTTACCATTTGTACATGGATAATTACTACAACTCGGTTACCCTGACAGAATCATTGAGAGAACGTGGGGTGTACACATGTGGCACAATTAGAATGCTACGTGGTGCCCCAAAGGTATTGCAAGCTCTAGCCAAGGGTAAACTTCCACTGGATACCACAGTATACCGCCGCAAAGATAACACCTTCATTCTCCTGTGGAAAGACAAGCGAGTGGTTTCAATCATTACCAACATCCACAATGCAGACACTCAGCGAGTTCAGCGAAGGAAGCGAATTCGCAACCGAGACGGAACAAGTGGAATACAACAGGTAACAGTGAACAAACCGACTGCAATTTGCGAGTACAATAAGTTCACGAAAGGTGTGGACCACTTCGATCAAATGGTTAAATATTACCATTTTACCAGGAAAACTCACAAGTGGACCAAAAAGATTACCTTTTATTTCCTGCAAATGGCATTGCATAATGCCTATGTTTTGTACAAATATAACACAACTGATCGAAAAAAGCTAACATTGCTACAGTTCCACGAAGTGGCAATCTGGGCCCTATTGCACTGGGACACAGAGGAGTGGCCTAAAACAACATCATCATCTCAACACTTGCGGCACGCTCCAGACATAAATGATGACACAGCTCCTGCCAATGCTGACGCCATGCCAACTCCCGGACCATCTGGTGTGAGGCGGCCTTTGTTCACTACACCACCTCAAGATGAAGCAGACAACGAATCTGAACCCGACATGTCTGCCACACTGCCAGTTGACGAAACTGTTTTGTCAGATGAATCTGACTCTCCTGCAACTCCTGTTACACCTCCAGCGAGAAGACCTGGCCCTATTGTTGATTCAGAAAATCGCATGAACTACAAACTGAAACATGAAATTTACAGACTGCCAAAACGTCTCAAGTGTCATGCATGCGCACGGTCCGGTAAAAGGAAGGACACGAACTATGGATGCAAGACCTGTGGTGTTGCACTCTGTGTTGTTCCCTGCTACACCAATTACCACCGGAAAAAGGTGTATTGGGTGGTGAAGAAGTAACCACCCGCAACAGCTTCACTCCACCTACAAACCATCTGTTGAGCAACTTCAGGAATGAAGAACCTGAAGAAGGTGGAGTGAAGAACAAATGCTCAACTTACTGTTCCACAACCAGCCTTCCCTTGGTAAGTACACCTATTTGGTCCAAGTTTGTGTAGTATAATTTAGCTCATAGAACATTCTATTGCGAAAACATTGCCACAAAAATGAATGACATACATACAATAATAATATCAGAACAGTGAAATAAGTATAAACTTTCAAAGCAACGTTTCGCGCGTGTGTCGTCCGGTCACCATTACCGGGTAACAGTGTGCCCACTTCCCACACTCTTGCGGGTGGGCCGGGACCATTATTCTACGATTATATTCATATCACCGTGTTGGGAATTTTATTGGGAGTCCATTGATACCAAAATTAAGGCTGTAGGACAATTGTAGAGGTGATAATAATCCCAAGAGTAAAAACATTTTGTTGCTGTTGAGCGCTCACGGCGACTCATCTTCGTAGTTATTTATTTCATGCTGGTATCTCTATAGCTTTCGTGACTTTTTTTACTGATGTTCTTCTAGAGAATTTTATTGCGAACACGTTGGTATCAAAATGAAATACGTAGCATGAAAACTAAGGTCAGAAAAGTAAAAAGAGTATACACATTTTTGTTTTTACGCTTAAGCGATAAAAACGCCGTGCGCACATACGGTTGGCTGAGTGACCTTCGCCGAGAGCGCGAAAGTGTTAACCTGGCCTGTACAGTCTCCCTGTAGAACATTAACCTGGCCTGCACAGTCTCCCTGTAGAACATTAACCTGGCCTGCACAGTCTCCCTGTAGAACATTAACCTGGCCTGCACAGTCTCCCTGTAGAACATTAACCTGGCCTGTACAGTCTCCCTGTAGAACATTAACCTGGCCTGCACAGTCTCCCTGTAGAACATTAACCTGGCCTGCACAGTCTCCCTGTAGAACATTAACCTGGCCTGCACAGTCTCCCTGTAGAACATTAACCTGGCCTGCACAGTCTCCCTGTAGAACATTAACCTGGCCTGTACAATCTCCCAATAGAACAGTAACATCGTCACAGCACTAACCTGACCTTCACAATCTCCCCGCAGCAGCAGCTTCTCTGCTCCACTCTCCAATGGAATCATCATAAACTGCCATGCTGGAGCATTGACTAAATGCTGCAAGGTAAAGTGAAGAGTTAGTTTAACCAATCCTTCACAAACTTTGCACCATGCACAACTTAATCATTATTATAATGCAAATTTAGTAGTCTTTTATTTGGGTGGATCTAAGTTTTTACCCAATAATATTCAGGCGATGAGTCACAATAACGTGGCTAAAGTAATTTGACCAGACCACACACTAGAAGGTGAAGGGACTACGTTTCGGTCCGTCCTGGACCATTCTCAAGTCATATCGACTTGAGAATGGTCCAGGACGGACCGAAACGTCGTTGTCCCTTCACCTTCTAGTGTGTGGTCTGGTCAAATTACCCAATAATATGTAAATGTTTATCTAAAACAAATACCTATAAGAGGTCAGTAATCCCAATTCCAGTAACCTGAATGAATTTGCATGCATCATTTTCAAGTAAACGGTGGGAGTAACCAGATAAACAGCAAGACTAAGCAAATAAACTATGGGAATGTGCAGGGAAGTAGTGGGAGCAATCAGTTTGTGGTACAAACATTTTAAAATGTGTTCAGTTTTGGACAATCCTGGTAAGAAATTTGGCTAACTAGAATGGGGTGGGCCTCATATGGTTTGGATTACTGAGCATAGACAGTATAAAGACAAATGTGCAACTGAAATGGAAGACACACGCTACTACTCCTCTGCATGATTTTTTTTTATTTTTTCATTTGTATTTTTTTTGTAGGTATATTCCTGCATGGGCCCTAAGCCTCTGGCTAGCCCACTAAGTGTTATTTGTTTCTTGTTTCTGCTTTACATAGGCGGAGTATGAGCATTTATGACTCGTATGTTCGCTTATGAGAGATGAATTAGAACCCAAATTTCATCAGATTCAGGCTGGATTTGTGGAAGGACAAATAACTATCACAACGCTATTGATATTGTTCAATGAGAATAAATTACATAAAATGAAAATTGTGCTACAAGGTTACCCCATCAAAAATACTAGAACAATCATTTGATTATTGAGTTCTAACTCTTTATACTGTATGTTTTCTTGCCGTCATAGACCATGGCTTTAAGTATCTTTGGTTGTTTCACCCAACTGAGAAATTCAGTTTATTAGTTTCTGATGTTTCAAAATACTGTACTACATTTTCATTTACTTTCTGCATAGAACACACTAGTATAAATATATAACAGACCTCACAATAAAAGTGAGACTGCTGTGTTGTTTCAAGCATAAGTTTGACATATATGAAAAAGGTTAGGGTGGATATAATTAGAAGCTGCTTCATTATGGGGCAATAGGAGCCGCCTTGTATGGTTATCTTCAGGTTATCTTGAGATGATTTCGGGGCTTTTTTTTTTAGTGTCCCAGCGGCCCGGTCTTCGACCAGGCCTCCACCCCCAGGAAGCAGCCCGTGACAGCTGACTAACACCCAGGTACCTATTTTACTGCTAGGTAACAGGGGCATAGGGTGAAAGAAACTCTGCCCATTGTTTCTCACCGGCGCCTGGGATCGAACCCAGGACCACAGGATCACAAGTCCAGCGTGCTGTCCGCTCGGCCGACCGGCTCCCTCAGTTGTGCAGTTTCCTTAATTATAATGCTCTAAAAACAACTATCAGAACACACAGCTTCAACTGATGAATACAATGCTTCGCTCCAAGTTATTAACATTACCGTGCATCAAGACAAACAGATCCTCTCCCAATCTTTTTCTGTACAAAATATATTTTAAAGAAGTAAACAGTTTAACAATAACCTCCAAGAATTTAATTTGAAAAATACTATGCAGAGGAACAATGCTCACAGTAGTAGGCAAGATAAAATTCAGCGATTGATCAACAAAGAAAATTGAAGGTTACCATTACACTGACACTTGACAATAATGGCTTCAAGGGTCATGGTAACTACAATTTTACAAAGATAATTTACTTTAAGTAGTCATATTGTCACAATATGAAAAACTGGCATAGACTACATATCCAAATTAAGAAAAACACAGCTTAATTATCAGAGAATACCAAGCCTTGGAAGCTGATATTCATATTTCACCTACATACCTCTTCGTTGTGCGGCTGGACGATACCGTACATAACAGGATTGTCCCCTTCAACTTGTTTGTTGTGAAATGCTCGACTATCAACAATACAGCTGAGAGGAAAAATAATATTCAACAGGGACATCATAGATGACATAATGATCAATTCTGTATAATATGCATAACAGGTACTCTTAATATAAGTATAATATGCTGTAACCAAGCTGCTAAATTGATTGCTCCTACTTTCTTTATTCAGAATCATATGTATCAATAGGGAGAAAAGGCCTAGAACATGGTACGTAAGATGTAGACAAGAGCCTTTTAAATGGAATGTTAGATGTGGTCAAGAACCTTGTATGTGGAACGTAAGATGTACAGTAGTCACGAGGCTTGTACATGGACTGTAAGATGTAGTCTAGAATCTTGTATGTGGAATATAAGATGTAGTCACGAGACTTGTACATGGAATGTAATATGTAATTAAGTTAATTTTAAGAGCAATGCATGAGGAATGTAAGATGATGTCAGGATATTTAATTGTATTTACAGGTCTCTAGGAACTGGATGCTGTACCCCACATATATAGTACCATTATGTGCAAAATGTTGAACATTTGTAATAGTCATACACTTGACACACCCAGAATGAACATCACATAATAACACACATTTGCAAAATATTACTAATGCTATAATCCTCAGTGAAATTTCCAACATATACACCAATACCTTCATTACAAACACTTAAATTGCAAGTATCAATTATAAAATAAACAAATGTAATTATTTTGTCAGTGATAATTTGAGGCACAAGTCAGGCAAAAATGGACAAATCTTCTAAAGTCACTAAAAACTATCTATAATTTTTACAAGAAAGAACATGCATGATCTACAAAACTTTTGGCCAATACCTGTATATGATATTGGATTATGTTACATAACTCTATACTACAAAATACATATACATTTATATCCTTTCCTACAAGCAAATTCAGGCTAAGACTATTAGAAAATACAGTATATTGCTTTACTCGGTACAAATGTGTTTGTGATATTTTCTGTGGAGGTACCTTTACACTTTACTCAAATAATGACTTAAATACCACTATTACAATTTGTTAATGTGACGGTATTAACGTCAAGATGCTGGTAGGTGTAAGCTAAGGTACTGTAATTATCAGGGAATGCAATAAGCTAGAATGACTAGCCCTTGAAAAGGATACGAGAACAGAGTAAAAGAATGGTGCCCAGGGGATTGAACGACAAATGTAGGAACCCACTATGATGATACAGCACATGGAAAGGATATGAAGACAAGGAGCTGGGATAGGAGGATGGAGTGAAGGAATTGTATCCAACCACTTGGACCACTGGGCCTGTAATGACCCTGCAAAATGTGAGGCTGTAGCTGTACTGACCAGTCTAAGCAGACGGTAGCCGTCAGCAGTAGTATAAAATGGTGGGCATTGCTTCAAGTATCTTTCACCCTTTTTTTTTTTCCATAAAATATTTCTCTCCTACCTTGATGGGTGCCTCACGACAAGGGAAGGAGGAAGGATGAAACCCTAAATCCAGCCACTACCACACTAGATGTTACTAGGGTGGATGTATGGTTGGTAGTAGGTGGGTGTGGATGGGCTAGGTGTATGGTTAGTTGTGGGTGGGTGTGCATGTGTGGCTAGGAACACAGTTTGCTAAGAAATTTATGATTTTCAGAGTGTCCCCTGAAACACATTTAAGTTAGCAAGTGCTAAGAGAGCATAAATATTTATTAATATCTATCCTGACACTTAAAGAGAATACTAGTAAAGACTGCGGGATTAGTCTTAGTCCCTTAGAAGTCCCTTAGCATCAATAGTCAATCTGGACAAACAAGGAGGTCTATTGATAACAATAGCAAATGTCCTCATTGTTGAAGCTAACCCTAACTCACTCCAGTTGCTTATAATGCATCTCAACCAAATAACAGTGAGCTATTTTATCAGATTGCAACATGAGCAATCTACTGTTCATTTACAAGAACAAAATCAACAACTCATTACTTAATATCTTCAACAAACAGGACGTGGAATATTATTTATTCCATAGCACAAAATATATTTCTACAAATTATGGCAAAATAATTTGTTGGCTTAATTTAGTCTTGATTATTTGTGACTACGAAGAAAGCAGAATTTCAGCCTGACAAGAAGGTATTGGAGTATACGCAGTCTTAACCAAACATGTATTAATATCAACAAATGCAGCAAATCATAGAAATGTAAGCCAATAGCAGGAAAACAAAACAAAACTGCAAAGCAAGTCAATAGTTTGAATGTTGAATAACAAAAACAAGGCAAATGCTTCAAAGTTCTCATTAGACTGAATGAGAGGTATTGTATAATGTATAATGCTCATACAATACAATACTGAGTAATGTGCATTGAGAAAATGTACATGTGTAATGTAAATTGTTAACATAAGAAATACTGTACACATTTACAACACTTACACAAATTATTTTCAACAATTTGAAACATATCCAACACCAAAAACTATTCCTTGTGCCACACCTGAGAACTGAAGCAACAGAGATAGCAAGAGAGATAAAGCAGTTGTGACTGTCTAATTGCATTTGCATTCTATATACAGGAGGCACTCAATTTATTCAAGGAATGCATTCCTATTAGACTCGGAACACACTGAATTCACTCAAAATGAAGTAAAGGTCAGACAATACTGGACAGTGCAACCTTGATTAGGGGAACTATAAAGGACCAAACCTGATTTAGCTCAGCATTGAATGTGAAAAGCACGGAGAGCTAAGCCCCGAGAACTCGGCAGAAGAGCTACCCGAAGTGACCAGCCCCGAACCAAAGAAGAGCCATGGACCGAAGAGACTCTCCACAATTGAGACAATGAACCACAGGGAAGCAGTTTGAATGGAGCCAGATCAAAGAGCCCCGAGGAAGCCAAATCTGGCGCAGCAAATGTCACACCACCGCAAACTCCTGCACCATGCTGTGAGCCCAACGGAAGGACCGCCCACAGCACCCCTGGCCGCACTGGTGAGCACTGGTCACATCACGAACCCAGAGAAGCCGAGCGACTCACAGAGCATACACAGCCCCGACCAGATGATGAAGGCTTTGGGGGAACCCACAAATGCAACCACTGGCACCAAAGGACTACCTCGACCCACCGAGGCATGAATCCTGGCACGACCAAACCGGGAGGAATGAGAACGGCACCCCTGTAATACCAAAAAGTCCAAAATAGGACGTCAGCTAGCCGAAGCTGCCGACAGAAACTGAGCCACAACATCCTCTGGAAACAATAGAGGACAGAATGGAGAAGAAGACTGCAGAGTCACGGCCCAAGCCGAATCCAAAGAAAGAACCAGCATGGCTTACCAACATGTGAGGTGAGAGGAGAAAAACATTGAAACTGAAACTGCCTCCCGAAGGATCGGTGCAAACAGCTTAAGCAAGGCAGACAACACCTCGGCAGCCAAGACCAGGACCCTAGCTGATGAACCCTCACTCAACACCTCAACATCTTCCGAAAGCTAATCTGAAGATAGCTCCAGAAGACTGAAAAGGTGCAAGACCGAAGCCAAATGACTACGAGTCCTGAGGCCTTCTGCCGCCAAAGCAGCCAAAAGAGTGGGAACCTGAGCATGCAATTGCACCAGACTCACATGACGAGGAAGCGCAGGAGCGAAGACGCACTCATTGAGGAACTCGAGCGAGCCCCCCTCCCCCCCAGAAGACCTGTAACACAGAAGAAACCTCCCACCACTTAAGCGTACGGGTATGACAAAGGCCACGCCAAACTCCGAGATAGAAAAAGGGGCAGTCTGCCAGCCAGGAAGACTCGAACCTCATAATGCACCCAATACAGGGAGGAAGAACCGAACTCAAAAGAAGCTGGATTCAACAGCGAGGCATAAATCGGGTCTCACAGGAGGTATGCACCAAGGGCCTCTCCAGGGAAAATCCGAGAAGAATGAAACCTCCGGAAGGACCAATCCAAGGAACCCCAAGGAAACGAACCCAGAGGGAAGCCGCGCCTAATTCAAATTCATACAGGGACGGAGGGTACGAAAATGCCTTTCCCCTGCAGCAACAATCCCTGCCCAGAAGCCACAAGGGCCCAAGCAAGGTCAAAAGGAACCCAAGCGCTCCAAGCGGACTCTTCCAAGCCCCGGGAACCCCCAACAGAGGCCCTGGGGCAGAGCCCTTTTCCACACCCACCACTCCTGAAGAAAAGGCAGAGTCCAAGGGAAAAGCTTCCGAGAAGAAAGGTGGCTGGGACGAACCGGAAGCCTCGGCGGGAAGAACAGGCTCAACTACCTCCGCACCTGTATCAGAAGGGGTAGTATCCGAAGCCACCCGAGCATCATCCCAATCTAAACCCTGCCCGGACTCCGAATCCCTCAGATGTTTAGTTTAGGAGCCAGAAGCATTGGGGGGGGGGGGGGAAGGGAAGCAGAACAAGACACGCCCACCTGGGAAGGAAGCAGGGGCGTGGACAGCACCAAGGTTGAAGTGACCAACACCCCCAAATCCTGGTTTCTAAAACCCAATCGGGGCAGCCCTGGGGCCTCCAACAAGACAACCAACCTGGCACGTTGAAAGACAAAAAAGTGAGCTTGCAATGCCACTGCAGCCTGAATCCTCTCATCCACAGATGAAGAATGGGTAAACAGAAGCACAAGCAGGGAACACGTCCTGCAAGACTCTGGGTCGTAGATGTCACCGACCCAATAGGCAGCATGGCAGAGGCAGAAGGTGTGATTGTCACCCCTGAGGCAGGGACAACGAACAACCATCAACTTCGCACGAGGTCAGAGTGGACTCGGACGAATCCATGTTACCAACTCAGCCCATGGGGTTTTTCCAAGGTCCACAGGGTACGTTAGCCCTACGAGAAGCCTAGGCAGTGGGGCCAACTAAGCCGATATATTCCCCCGTGTTTGGAAGCAAGCAAACCGACTACCAGTTGTAGTAGTGGTGAAACATTGGGGGCAATGGAGGAGGATAGCCACCACAACCTAGACAAGCCTAATAAGCACCAAAGCAGACCTCCATATACAAAGGGAAAATGCCCAAAATTGACAAAAGAACAAACCCCCAAAACCACACCCCAAGCAAACAAGCAACCAGAGAGAAATGTCTGCCATCGCATAGGTGATAAGCAGACTACACCAGCTGCAGTGTGTCCCCCCACCAAACAATAACACATCCTACCCGGGGCAAGTCGGAAATCACCTGACACCCAACTTACCTCAAGGGCGAAGATGATGTCAAGTGACCAAGCCTTCAAACAGAGAGCAAATCCTGAATGGACAGAGAAGATAACCCTGACACACAAGTGTAGTACTAATGGGGCACCCAGGGAAGGGTACTCTTGGCCTATGCAGCTCCAAGTACAAGAACACCACATCACCACACCACACATACAGCTGGTACAGCCACACAGGGCAAAATCCAGAACAGGAACTTGAGGCCAGAGATGACCGAATGACCGCAGCACATCAGGATGAGAACTGAGGTGGTGGGTGGTCGAGGCCACCTAACCTTGTGGGGAGGGAGGATACGCTATTGAGCACAAGCAGGGAAGTACTTGTTGCAAGTACTTCTATCGAGCAAGTACTTGTTGCACGCAGGGTTGCTAGTTTTTATTAGTTTCTATTATTTTATTTTATTTTATTTTATTTTATTTCAGCAGGAGTTTCTTTGCTCTTTCTGGCTGTAGATCACAATTTTACTGGTTTGTTGTTTGTTTTGGTTCGCCTATCTTTCTGGGTGCCCACCCCGGTCGATGGTGGAATATGGCATACTTCAAATGTAGAGTGCTCATATGCCATTGCTCCCTGCGCCTCTCTTTGGGGGGCCAGGTTCTGGCTCGTGGCTCCCGGTGACTCCTATGGCTGATGACCCCAAACTAATATAGCACATATCAGTTCGGATAGCTTCAGGGAGCCTCTGGGGCTCGCCCAGGAAAAAACTTTCTTAATGCCCTGAGACAGTTAATGGAGGGAAATGATTAAGACTAGTAGCAATTAATGTTAATAAGGACACACAGACCAAGTGTATGAATTAACTGAGGTATAAAGATCACAGATTCCATCGTAGTAGTTTCCCCAAGTCACGTGATACAGTACTACAGTTCAAATTGGGGTCTTAATATATACCAATCTGTCAATACATCTGCAAAACTCTTGATATATGCATCTTGAATAAAATAACTGCAGGCTTCTGCATCATTAAATTAGCTCCACTGATAGCACAGCCCGTTCTATATTTTTTTTTTCTTTTAACTATTCAAGACCTTGTTTTGGAGGCAATTCTATAAAATTCTTATTTTTATATTAGACAAAAACTGCAGTAATAATACCTAACCAATACAAAAACATAAAACAATATATATAGCAAACAATAGATAAAACAAAGAGATTAGCTCTGACATAATTGGAAAGTACTGTACTGTACTATACTGTATACCGTTAAATAATGCACAGGACAAATAATCCAACTTTAACATTAAACACTTCAGAAATTTTCACAGAACTTCAGATTGTTCAACTGTCTATCGCAGGCAAGCATTTATTGACTGTTTTCCTTACCCAGCTTCTAATACGCTTCATACACATTAGAATGGAAAACTCTTCACTAGTACTGTACTCAATTGCAACACAAGTAGCTTATTCACGTATGAATAGAATTACCAGCATCACTTTCACAGCTCCCGCCAGCATCTTCAGCCCACACATTCCCCCCCTGACTGACTTTCACACTAATTGTCTTGTTCTGCCATACTCTCCTACACTAATTGTCTTCCCCTGATGTATTCTCCTACACTAATTGTCTTCCCCTGATGTACTCTCCTTCGCTAATTGTCTTCCCCTGATGTACTCTCCTTCGCTAATTGTCTTCCCCTGATGTACTCTCCTTCGCTAATTGTCTTCCCCTGATGTACTCTCCTTCGCTAATTGTCTTCCCCTGATGTACTCTCCTTCGCTAATTGTCTTCCCCTGATGTACTCTCCTTCGCTAATTGTCTTCCCCTGATGTACTCTCCTTCGCTAATTGTCTTCCCCTGATGTATTCTCCTTCGCTAATTGTCTTCCCCTGATGTACTCTCCTTCACTAATTGTTCCCCCCCGATGTGCAATACTCTAGTATACTAATTGTCTTTGCCGGACATATTCTACCACACGACATAATCTACTGCCACTTGAGAATTTCTAACATTTGGAATCCTTTGTTTATTATCTCATCAACTAGACGTTTGCTTATAACTACACATTACAGCTGAAATTAAACTACAATATTAGGTAAAGTGTTGGCAGGTATTAATGCTAACATCAATGTTCAGAGGCATCAAGACGTTTCAAAAAGTTAACAGAATGCCTCCGTGGCTTTCTACTGGGAAACCAACGACGACACAAATGCAATGTAAGCCTACACAACCCGACATATCCTTCATGCTTCAGTGTTTGTTTACAGGGGAAAAGCAACTAATACCCAACACGATAGACGGCACAATTTGAGATCTCTCTCAGATCAACATTTAAAAAAGAAGGCCGAAAACATCATTATCAATCCTATTGCAAGTAAAGACCAGTGTAACTATCCAGTAAGTCATGATATAATAATAATAATAATAATAATAATAATAATAATAATAATAATAATAATAATAATAATAATAACAACAACAAAAATCATGGAATGTATGAGGTGACTGTATGCTTCCTGAATAGGGGGTCAATAGAAAAGGGCACCATGTAGGAAATAACAGCACGATTATGTGTTATAAAAATAGCAAAAGGCATTAGCACAGTAAGCATTAGTGTAACAATATTGAGAGGTTGAAATGAACCTGTAGTGTATGAACCAGAAGCAATGCACAGCTTAACAGAATACAAGGAAGGCACAATTAACCTTGAAACGCCTCAATAGTTATCTGCGACTGCTTCCTGTGCTTGAATCGGCAATTACAATACAGTATTACGTTGATGCGATCTTATGGATTATAATTGTCATGCACACCACAATGTACGACTATTAATTTGGAGAGCTGTTTAAAGGTTAAGTGAATGATAGCAGAGCGCAAATGGCACGAGCTGAGACAGACAGGCATACAATAAGAGAATAAAGACGCAAGTACAGACATAAGAGGCTACAGTCTGAGAATATAGAACCAGTACACAGTAAATATAAAGAACAAGAGAGCATGATGTGATAGCCTGGATGTGGGAAGCTTACAGCTGTACTGTTCAAACTGATCCCCCTTCATTTACGGTGCCTTCAAAATACAGTATTACCAGCAATACTTTTCTGGATAAATATTATAATACCTAGTAAAGGAATCCGTGAAAGACAGTACATTATTTAAGGCTTTTTAGCGTCTAGTTGCTTAGAATTATCGATCCCTGACAGAGCTACATTCAGAAAAGACTGCTGGTTGTATTCCACAGGCCACATCTTACAGTCAGAGATAGCTTTACAATCAATACTTAGAATATAACATGGTCAAAGGCTTAGATATGAGCAGACTCAAGATTGTACATAGAACAACTGAATGAATATGTTGACAATAAGCTCGACACACACGAGAGCTACAGCACAGGCCAACTGACGGTGCACAGCGGTGCGTAGAAAAACAATAGAGTAAGAGGAAACACTCCATCCATTACGAAACTGAATGATGTGTAGTGGGGTTACTGACCTAACTGCCTTGCCCTTCAATAACCTGTAAAAGGTGATGTGTGAGTTAGCTATCACTTAAGAATGTGCATGCATATTTTAATCATATATACAGGATATTCAAAAAGAAACACAGCCCACAGATAATTTATTTACTAATGTAACTCCATTGTTTTTCTTTCAGTTTCAAGAACTTTTAAGCTAAAAAAAGCAGCTAACATTTCAAGAAAGAATATTCCATGTTGAAAGCTACATCAGCGATAAAAAAATTTACTAACAAATGTGCACTGACTTGGGTTACATTTCTTTTCCAACACCCTGTATTTTTGGATAAATTTTGACAAAAAATAAAGTATTTACCTCACTACAACTGTGAAAAGCGAGATTGGACAATATGTTTATATCCTTCAAACTATGACAAGCATTGAACAGCCAAGTTTTGATTGTCACAGATGGTATTTATTTAAGAGGTGTTTGAACAGGATGTTATTCTAAACAGCAAGTATTCCTTTATAAACTTAACATTTTAAGTTATGAAACTATCACAACAAAATCAGTGCCAAGTGCTTCCCTCATAACTTTATTTTTTTTCCACATTTTTTCAAAGTTAGATTTGGTATTGCTATATTGAGTAATTATGTCAATAATCAACGATAAAGCTTTGAGTCAGTATGAAATGTACCCACCGGAGCAGAATCATTCGGTTGTATCAACCCCTAAATAGCATAATTAATTAAAAATCCTACATTGTATTTTGTATGACAAAAAATGGTCCCAGGGGGAGAAAAGTCCCCCACAGGGACTTTTGAAAAGTTGTCAATGGCTCCAGTGCCGGAAGGTAGGTTTGTCCGACCGTACATGATACTGGTCTTTATGAACGATGCCTACCTTTAGGAAACAACCGAATGTGATAACTCAGAAATAAAGGCTAGTTATTATGATTTTCTGAACAATATACACATAGCAGTATATACAGTATGCACATGTGTGTGAAAGTACAAGTACAGAAGAACAATGTGTATGTAATGACATGCAGGAAGTGAAAAACAGCTTGACAAAAGTAATACTTGTTATGTATCTGCATTGTATACATTCATCTTTACATATACATGCTATACATACAGAGAACCCATTACTTTATATTTACTATCTCTATACATGCTGTGTTTGAAGAACCATATGTTTGGGATCAAGTCATACCTGACATACCACATTAACCATTGATATGGTTAATGTGGTATGTCGTTAATGTAATGGTTAATGTACCATATCTTAAATTAATGCATTACCTTAACCTTGCTACACAATCTAATATCACTTCTAATACACCCTCAACTATCTGCAAAATTTATGTAGTAGCTTTGTTCCTATGGAGATGATGAGTCACAATAACATTGCTGAAATATGTTGACCAGACCACACACTAGAAAATGAAGGGACGACGACGTTTCGGTCCATCCTGGACCATTCTCAAGTCAATTGTCTTGAGAATGACAATCGACTTGAGAATGGTCCAGGACGGCCCGAAACGTCGTCGTTCCTTCCTTTTCTAGTGTGTGGTTTGGTCAACTTTTTCCTATGCTATCCAATCATTTCATGATACTTCTTAATTAACATTACATCTTAAGAGTCATAATAATATATCAAAGAGATTGATATCCAAAATAATACCTACTGTATATTAAACTATTAACTGGGTTATGTTATAACTAAATAAAACATGGCTCATCATTTGAGCCAACACCCAGGAGAGTGACCCCCACGAACGACCTCTTGCAGACTGCCTCTGGTCATTACAACACTATCTCAAGATTTTGACAATTGCTTCATTCTTTTCATTTTCTGGTGACATATGAGGACTAAGCAACATTATATAAAGCTGCATCAAACTCTGATTTATGCGGTAAATTGTATAACTGGATACCATACCAATGCTTTTCAAGGTTGCTAAATTGTATATTGTATTACTTACTTCGTGGGTAGCTTGTAAATGTATGCTCGACCTGTGTCAGTCCAGACTATGACGCGATCAGCAGCTAGGAAGTCCCCACCCATCCATCTCTCCCCAGCAGTCACACCAACACGACACAACTGAGAGAAATCTCCAGCATCGTATATCTGGAATAAAAGGGCATAACACTGTAAACAAAACATAAATGAAAATTTATAACTAGTTATTTTGTAAAGAAGTGACAGATTCAACAAATATATATATGAGCATAATTTTGCATGATAAAATAACCAATAACAACTAACCTGCCAGTCATCCTGCGAGACGACAAGGACGGTGCGTTGATTGTACGTGCAGCAGACTAGGCATAAAGCATTCAACGAATGGATCATTTTAGCCTCATGTTCATATATGGCCTCATGAGGCCGCACCTCCCTCTCACTAACAGTCCACACTTTGACCCAGCCACCGGTTGTCACCCCTAACACAACTTCATCTGTGTGCACAAAACGGAATGACTATGCGACAACTCTTATATTATCTGCGGAGAATAAGTTACATAACAACCACACACATAAAATTTAATTAAACTGATAATGTTTCAGTCTGTCCTGAAAAGCTAGGAACAATCTTGGTGAGATAGCGTCAGGAAACTACTGGAATGCTGCCCCAGAAATATAATAATCTATGCATTCAATGAGTCTTCAAAGCAGTAAGCCAACTCCATACTCATAAGGCTCTCAAGCATCTTACCATTTCTTCTTGGGGGTCGTAAGATGTGAAGCGCAGATATCCAATCAGGTTGGATACGAGCAGCCAGGGAGAAAAGGATATCCAAGGTGTGGGGGTCGTATACAAGAATCTCAGGGTAGTTGCCAACACAAAACAACCGTACATCACTCACATTCAGCATCTGGTAAGCCTAAAAGAAGAACATATTGCATTAGTCAGGACTAAATACAGATCTAAATTTGGTGGATATTCTATTTACTAATTCTAATTAGGAGTAGATAACGACAGTTGACCATTTCTGGCTGCATTTCCATTAGTAATCGGAAATTAAATCTTTCCATATTACCTCTGAGTATGGAATTTATAACATTGAACACAATACAACTAATAGATCTATGATAAGTTATAGGTTAACCGGATAAACATCTTCCAGTTGTCTTGTAAATACAAGTGTTATCTTTATACATTAATACAGGTCACAGGTGTCTACACACGTCACACCAGCATCTCACATCTGTACATCAAGATAGAGTACACGTTTCTTGCCCAAAATGCTGTGCGTATTAGTGGCTTTAGGCATAGTATGTAACAGCTCTATCTAGAAATCCAACATTCTGTTTGTAACTCATTTTGAATGGATGTATCTGAATAAACATTATTATTACAGAGGAGCCTTAGTTAACGAATTTAATCCATTCCGGCACCGAGCTTGTCATGTGAAACACTTGTCTTGTGAAACGAATTTCCCCATTTAAAATACTGGAAATAAAATTAATCTGTTCCACCACCGAAAAACATCAATATGATATTCGATTTTTTTTTATAGAAAATGGAGCAGCCTACCTGACATATATTGAAAAAAAACTTTTTGACATTTGGGCTTTTTTCAATTTTTTTTTTTTAATTTTGTTATTTTTTCATTCATAGAAAATGGAGCAGTCTACCAACACTGAACAAACCTTTTTGACATTGTTCTTTTTTTCATTTTTTTTTATTTTTTATTTTTTTTTTTATTTTATACAAAATGGAGCAGGCTACCTGACATACACTGAACAAACCTTTTGACATTTCTTTTTATTTTTTTCAATTTTTTTCCATTTGTATTCTGATTTAAAAAAATTCAATGGTTTGCAACATTACAGCAGTCACCCCTTTACATCCCAGCTTCATCAGCATCTTTTAAAAACAAATTTGTTGAATTGTATCGTTGGAGGCATCTGAGAATTTGCAAGAACCAGCAGGAACGCTAGGAAGCACCAGATGATTTTCTCGTTAACCAAGTGGAAGCTTGTCAGTCTAGACAAATTTTCTGCGAGTGGCTCGCTTGTAGATGGAGCCGCTCGTCACCCGAGGTTCCTCTGTATTATTATTATTATTATTACAAGCACTATAAATTCATCATGTAACCCTCTAGCTACAACTCTTTATTTTTGCTCTACTTAACCAGGATTTTCATTGCACCAATCACATTCTTTCCCAAATTTATTCAACTCTAAATCACACAGCTTGGGTACTGTATTTAAAGTGATCAACCACGTCTCCATATACGTACTGTACGTATATTAATTTTGCAAAAAATCTTCTGTATCCACCACCGTAACTCTACTAATGTGCACATCCCCTTCTAGCAGATGTTCTCTCACGCACACATCAATGTGCGTGAGAGAACATCATAAGGTACTGTGTAACCCATTGTATATGTTGTAGTAAAATGATAGCCACTCCTGTAAGAACCATAACCTTAACCTATGATAGAAAAATGTGCACATGTAAGGTTCCCATTAATTAGAGAATCACTTCAACCATATGGGTCACCATTTATCAAACTGGTAAAATGCCAGGTAACATCCTACATCACTTACTGTCATGGAGGAGTGAACATTGGCTGACCTGAGGACTTCAACAGACCTTCCATCTCTTAAATCCCACGTACACATCTCTCTGTTAAAGAAAGCATTGTCAATCTATTCATTACATAGTAAAGGTTGGAAGAAAATAACACACTGTTATCTACATTTTTAAATACTGTACAGTACATATGTATGTAAACATATGTAAATGGTCCCGGCAAGGTCACCGAAGGTGCTAGAATGTCACTAGGCATAAGATCAATCCTGTTCAATTTGACTGACAGATGGGAATTGAATATAAAATGAAAGCTACTTACAAACTCTCATTTTAATCCTAAGTGGCCACAAAACTAAGCCTCCACCAAACAGTTCACTTCCTGCCTTAACCAGCCAGCTATAGTAACCCTGGCCAACACCAAATGGCACTAATTTCATAGCACACAAATTTATATGTACACATATATCATTGCTATCAAATCCCACACACATCTTTGCCTCCACAGCAACACATGGAGCTCACTGCTCAAGTAGTGCTCAGGCCTAGGTTGAATACACAATGAAATCACAATGCACTGGGGTTACTAAGGACACTGGTTCAATCCATATCCTGCTTTTCTTCAGGATATGGATTGAACCTTTAGAAGAATCTTCTGAAATCTTTTTCCAGACGATTTTCTTCTGGACTGAATACTGTATTCACCAATCTCCTTAGCACCTATATGACCAGGAAGGAACATCTGAACAAGTTTCTCCTAAGTGGGTACAGAATGTTGTCTTGCCCTGACTGTGTTAATCCACAGGACCAGAGAGACTTTGCTTTAGGAAGCAAACAAGTGAAGTACATATAAAATAATACTCACACATTACCAGTATCTAACAAAGGTATTTACTTACCATGGCATGCGGCACCTCAAAGTACATGACACTTTAAATTAGGACTAGAGTATTTGGTGATACAGGTCTTTTGTTAAATACTGTATGTCAATGAAGAGGACTGACCCATTTTCTGAGGAGCTGACGATGAAAGAGGTTCCTCGCGCATTTCCCCCTTGTGCGAGGCACACGACACTTGCTGTGTGGCCAACCAAAAGGCAACGAGGCACCAACTAATGAAAAACAATCATCATTCAATTAGTTAAATGCTACCCATATATTGTTAGAAATAAGCTGAAAGGATACAAGTCACATTGTATATAAGATGGTTCGTCAACGTATTTGTAAAGCCAACCTAATCTAACCCAAACCACTTAGTCCAGCCAAGCCTAACATAGCCTAATTTAAGCTAATACATACCAACCTAACAATACTGTACATGTGGTTTTAACAAACAGATCGGGATGCTTTGTCAAATCGTTTAGTATACTATTTAAATTAATTCAATAGAAACTTAATAAACAGAGACACAAATTTAAACAAAGATAATAGACTGAAAAAGGGAAACAATCTCCCAATTACATTTATGATGGAGTTGTTAGGTATACATGAAAATCAGTTATGTAGAGGTAACTCACTAACCAGAAGCAGGATTACTTCAGAAGCAGGATCAAAAACAGATTAAATATAAAACATACAACTGGGATAAATATTTCTAATATTGTTTTTATTTGCCACAAAACTGTAGCAAAAGAATTGACAAGGATAATGACTTATCTTAAAATACAGAGAAAGTTGAGAGATTTCAACATCAATGAGAGCACAACAAAATAAAAGGAAAATAAGGAAACATGATAAAAAAAGTTAACAAAGTACTAAGCAGCACAAAGTAAAAGATTTAAGACATTTAAGAATGCATGATGATGGGGGCCTAAGACATAATTAGGCCTACTCATAGAAGGAAAACAACATGTAAAAGATCTGGGAATTATGATGCCTGATGACCTGACATTTAGTGAACATAACCAAGCAAATATAGAGGCAGCAAGGAAAATGATTGGATGGATTTAGAGAATGTTCAAATCCACAGACCCCATATGTACTATTTATATCACTGGTAATGTCCTGTCTTCAATACAGCTCCATACCTACTTCCCTTATCTGAGCAGGAGAGATGTCTGAAATGGAGGGAATGCAGAGAACATATACAGCACGCATAGACACTATAAAGCACCTAAATAATTGGAACTGTTTCAAAGCTCTCAAAATGCACTCTCTGGAAAGGATATGAGGCATCAAATAATATATACTAGTACATGGAAGATACTGGAGGGCCATGTCCCAAATTTGCACAGTATAATAACAACATACTGGAGTGAAAGATATGAAGGAAATGCAGAATAAAACCAGTGAGGAGTAGAGGTGCCATAGGCACAATCAATCAATATATGAAGATCAAAGGTCCTTAGCTGTTTAATACTCTCCCAGCAAGCATTAGAAATAGTGCCAGAACAAAGGTGGACTTTTTTCAAAAGCAATTAGATAAGTTCTTGCAGGAAGTGCCAGACCAACTGGGTTGTAGTGGATATGTGGGCCTGCAGGCTGCTCCAAGCAACAGCCTGTTGAACCAAGTTATCACTAGTCGATCCTAGCCTCAGACAAGGCTCAAGCAGTAGATGAACTCTCAAAGCCCTCTACAGGTATGCTCCAGGTATAATGAAGGAAGATGTAGTGATGGTTAAGGAAAATACAGTATTGATGGGGGAAAACTATCTGAAAATAGGACAGAAGAAATGACTCCCAATTTTTCATGTTAATTTAGTAATGGGAAGCAGTGAAGTCATATATACATGCATTACCATACAATAGTCTGTGTAGTCACTTCATCACTGAAAGGTTCTGGGTTCGATTCCCCTGAAGATGATTGAACATGTCTCTTTACACCTGAAGCCTCTGTTCCCCAAGCAGTAAACTGTTACCCAAGAGTTAAGTAAGTGATGTTAATTACACCCCTGAGCAAGATTATTAGTTGACCTAGGGAGACCCCGATAGCCCTAACAGTCATCATGTCCCCACTAATGGGAACCATAATAGTTTCAACTTTCGTAGGGTGTGGAAGCAAATGCCCGTGGATCAATAAAGATTGTGGAGAGGGAGCACAAACTGTGAAAGGAATCAGCAAGATGACAAATTTTTTTTTTAAGACAAACAAGTTACCGTACTTGCAACTCTCGATAAGCAGAAGAAAGATGCAGGAGGAATAAGAAAAACATTTTCTTAATTATGAAAGTGGTATAGGTATGGGCTAGACTACCAAAGTGGTGTGTACCAAAAATATAGCAAGAGTTAAAAAACTAAATACAGTATAACAAAATGTACAAAGACGACATGACATCACAAACATAACTTCCTTCCTGTGGCTACAATTGGGTAATTACACGAAATTATCTGACGGATGCTGGATTGGTCTCTCACTCAGCAAGGTTAAGCAGTGCTGTGGAACATAGTATGTACACATGTTTGCACATGATTTCTAAACACATAACTAACAATATTTTTTTGGGGGGAATACTGTATATGAATTAAGCAGAATGTGTCACAAAATGTGGGTGAAATAAATAACTTAATCCACATACTGAATACAAAATTAAAGTGACAAGGTTTTGATCCGTCCTGGACCCTTATCAAGTTGTAACATAAGAGGAGTGGGAGAGAGATTCAACAAAGCAGGAAGGAAAGGAAGGGTGAAGGCAGGCGAGGGGTAAATGTACACGTTAAGGATGAGAACCAATAACAATACATAATCAAGAAAACTGCATAAGGCCTAATGGAACCTAAACAAAAGTAGATTTGTTGTAGCAAATTCTATGTGACGTGGCTATAATGGAGCCTATTAACACAATTTATTATACATCAAATGCTATTCTTGGACTCCCATCACTGACAGCCCAAAACGTACCTTGAGAATAGGAGGTTCGAAGTCCCAGACACATATCTGACCATCTCGGGACCCTGTCACAATAGTGTGGCAATCGCGCGTAAAAAGGATGCATGATATGTCGTGGGTGGGGGCCTCACGACCCCACATAACAAGAGGAACTACCAAGTTCAAAGATCCCATGATCTGAAAAATTAATTTATGAAAAAGGTAACTGGCATTAATTTTACAGTTCCCTGCCAACACAGATAACGTTGTGCCAAAAGTAAAAAGCAATTAGATAAATGACAATTGATAAAATAATACCAATTTCTCAGAGAAAATCTAAATATTAGTGTCAAACAGGAATTAAAATACAGTAGGAACAATGTCAACAGAATTAAATCAAGAGAAAAAAATAATAATACTGTACACATATTATGGAGCCAATAGGGGAAAAGCAACATATTGAGAATAATGACAATACTGTTCGGTAGACACATCATAATACTGTACAATAATCTCACGATAATACTGTACAATAATCTCACGATAATACTGTACAATAATCTCACGATAATACTGTACAATAATATCACGATAATACTGTACAATAATCTCACGATAATACTGTACAATAATCTCACGATAATATTGTACAATAATCTCACGATATTACTGTACAATAATCTCATGATAATACTGTACAATAATCTCACGATAATACTGTACAATAATCTCACGATAATACTGTACAATAATCTCACGATAATACTGTACAATAATCTCACGATAATACTGTACAATAATCTCACGATAATACTGTACAATAATCTCACGATAATACTGTACAATAATCTCACGATAATACTGTACAATAATCTCACGATAATACTGTACAATAATCTCACGATAATATTGTACAATAATCTCATGATAATACTGTACAATAATCTCACGATAATACTGTACAATAATCTCACGATAATACTGTACAATAATCTCACGATAATACTGTACAATAATCTCACGATAATACTGTACAATAATCTCACGATAATACTGTACAATAATCTCACGATAATATTGTACAATAATCTCACGATAATATTGTACAATAATCTCATGATAATACTGTACAATAATCTCACGATAATACTGTACAATAATCTCACGATAATACTGTACAATAATCTCACGATAATACTGTACAATAATCTCATGATAATACTGTACAATAATCTCACGATAATACTGTACAATAATCTCACGATAATATTGTACAATAATCTCACGATAATACTGTACAATAATCTCATGATAATACTGTACAATAATCTCACGATAATACTGTACAATAATCTCACGATAATATTGTACAATAATCTCACGATAATACTGTACAATAATCTCATGATAATACTGTACAATAATCTCACGATAATACTGTACAATAATCTCACGATAATATTGTACAATAATCTCACGATAATATTGTACAATAATCTCACGATAATATTGTACAATAATCTCATGATAATATTGTACAATATTACCATGATAATATTGTACAATAATCTCATGATAATACTGTACAATAATCTCATGATAATACTGTACAATAATCTCACGATAATATTGTACAATAATCTCACGATAATACTGTACAATAATCTCATGATAATACTGTACAATAATCTCACGATAATACTGTACAATAATCTCACGATAATATTGTACAATAATCTCATGATAATATTGTACAATATTACCATGATAATATTGTACAATAATCTCATGATAATACTGTACAATAATCTCATGATAATATTGTACAATATTACCATGATAATATTGTACAATAATCTCATGATAATACTGTACAATAATCTCATGATAATATTGTACAATATTACCATGATAATATTGTACAATAATCTCATGTTAATACTGTACAATAATCTCATGATAATATAATACAATAATCTCAAGATAATATTGTACAATAATCTCATGATAATATTGTACCTGCTGAATAAAATTCTCACAATAATATTGTATAATAATCTCACAATAATCCATTCAGTAATCCTCATTATAATACTTCTGTAATCTCATGATAGTATTATTCAGTAATCACAGTATTGTAATACTGTTCCATAATCATAATATTGTAATATTGTTCAATAATCATAATACTATAATAATGTTCAACAATCATAATACAGTATTTTGCAATACTGTTCAAGAATCATAATAATCCTATTTAATAATAATGTATACTAATCATATATGCATACTGTACAATAGTCTAATAATAATGAACAATAATCCTATAATAAGACCTAATATTGAACAATACAATAACTTTATGATAACACATTCATTGTACAGTACATATATCTGTAATATCTTACGGTATCAACCACTTGGCTGATAACGCTGGCTCCATAATACAGTACATGGTTTGAGATAGCAGTAGTAAATCAGTTCTAAAACCACTGTTGCCTTATCATTCTCAGATTTATGTCTCTAGTTTAATTTACAACAATTTTAATAAAATATGATGCAGATGTCACCAACACCAAAGGGAGCCGGTCGGCCGAGCGGACAGCACGCTGGACTTGTGATCCTGTGGTCCTGGGTTCGATCCCAGGCGCCGGCGAGAAACATTGGGCAGAGTTTCTTTCACCCTATGCCCCTGTTACCTAGCAGTAAAATAGGTACCTGGGTGTTAGTCAGCTGTCACGGGCTGCTTCCTGGTGGTGGAGGCCTTGTCGAGGACCGGGCCGCGGGGACACTAAAGCCCCGAAATCATCTCAAGATAACCCTAAGTGTTTAAAGATAATTCATTCAAATTATACTATGGCTCCTTTCCTTTCTGTTCAAGTTTGGGTATTTTATATATTTTTTCCTGTTAGGCATTAAATGAGTTTTATCCAAATTGCAACCTGTCATGTAAAAAATGGTAGCACAAAATATAGATGATAGGCAAAACAAATTCAATGCTATTTATTTTTTTAGAAGGCCTGAGAGAGTACACACCCAAATCTAATCTTTTCCTGGGCCTAGTATAGCATATATTTGTACTAAATTAAGCCTAAAGATTGCATATTTAGGCTTAGGTGAATGGTTACCCTGTTCCACTTTTTTGTAAGCCCTTTAGTATTTATTAGTAAAACATTTTAACTTTTTTTGGGGGAGTACAACAATCTATAATGTACATTTCATTTATAGTAGATGTTAATTTATCATTTATAGAGAACAGTTTTCAAATTATTCTTGTTTGACACCAGGTAATAAAATTTCTTTCCGGCCACTCACATGCAAATTGTCCCCAGCCACACACACAGACACTGACCCCAGCCACACGCACGCGCGCGCACACACACACACACACAGGCTCCTGCCACAAACACACACACACACAAACACAGGCTCCAGCCTCAAACACAGGCTCCAGGAACACACAGGTTCCAGGAACACACAGGCTCCAGACACACACAGGCTCCAGCCACACAGACACACACACAGGCTCCAGCCACACAGACACCCACACAGGCTCCAGCCACACAGACACATACACACAGGCTCCAGCCACACAGACACACACACAGGCTCCAGCCACACACACACACACAGGCTCTAGCCACACACACAGGCTCCAGCCACACACACACACACACAGGCTCCAGCCACACACACACACACACACACACAGGCTCCAGCCACACACACACACAGGCACCACACAGGCTCCACACACACACACACACACACAGGCTCCAGCCACACACACACACACACACAGGCTTCAGCCACACACACACACACACACAGGCTCCAGCCACACACACACACACACAGGCTTCAGCCACACACACACACACACATACACAGGCTCCAGCCACACACAGGCTCCAGCCACACACAGGCTTCAGCCACACACAGGCTCCAGCCACACACACACACAGGCTCCAGCCACACACACACACACAGGCTCCAGCCACACACACACACACAGGCTCCAGCCACACACACACACACACAGGCTCCAGCCACACACACACACACACACACAGGCTCCAGCCACACACACACACACAGGCTCCAGCCCACACACACACACACAGGCTCCAGCCACACACACACACACAGGCTTCAGCACACACACACACACACAGACACACACAGGCTCCAGCCACACACACACACACAGGCTACAGCACACACACACACAGGCTACAGCCACACAGACACAGGCTACAGCCACACACCACACACACAGGCTCCAGCACACACACACACACACAGGCTCCAGCCACACACACACACACACACAGGCTCCAGCCACCACACACCACACACACACACACAGACACACACACACACACAGGCTCCAGACACACACACACACACACACAGGCTCCAGCCACACACACACACACACACAGGCTCCAGCCACACAGACACACACAGGCTCTAGCCACACACACACACACAGGCTCCAGCCACACAGACAAACACAGGCTCCAGCCACACACACACACAGGCTCCAGCCACACAGACACACACAGGCTTCAGCCACACAGACACACACACAGGCTCCAGCCACATACACACACACACAGGCTCCAGCCACACACACACACACAGGCTCCAGCCACACAGACACCCACACAGGCTTCAGCCACACACACACACACAGGCTCCAGCCACACACACACACACAGGCTCCAGCCACACACACACACACAGGCTCCAGCCACACACACACACACAGGCTCCAGCCACACACACACACACAGGCTCCAGCCACAGCCACACACACACACAGGCAAAAAAGTGACCATGTCTTTTTGGGAATAAAGTATGCAATGCGTTATAAGCTGGAAGAAAATAAGGAGGTTGAAGCAGTTGAAAAACCAGACTTCAGGAGAGGACATTATGGTGACCTTAGAAATTTTTTTAGTGAGTATAATTGGACAGACTTGATGCTAGGCAAGGAAGTGAATGAGATGTATGGCAAGTTTTGTGAAATATATGATAAAGGCACAAAAAAATTTATACCAAAACAGAGATGCAGAACTAGGAAACAGGATTGGTTCAATAGAAATTGCGAGAGGGCTAGAGACCGAAAGACACAAAAATGGAATCAATACAGGAAGAGGCCGAACCCCCAAACATACCAGCGATACAAAGATGCGAGAAACAACTACACGGCAGTGAGGAGAGAGGCAGAAAGAAATTTTGAAAAAGGGATTGCGGACAAATGTAAAACAGAACCAGGTCTATTCTATAAATTCATAAACAACAAATTGCAGGTAAAGGATAATATTCAGAGGTTGAAAATGGGAAATAGATTCACGGAAGATGAAAAGGAAATGTGTGAAACACTAAACGAAAAGTTCCAAAGTGTGTTTGTACAAAATGAAATCTTTAGGGAACCAGATACAATAAGAATTCCAGAGAACAACATAGAACACATAGAGGTGTCTAGAGACGAAGTGGAAAAAATGCTCAAGGAGCTCGGTAAGAACAAAGCAGCTGGCCCAGATGGCGTTTCACCATGGGTTCTGAGAGAATGTGCATCTGAGCTCAGCATTCCACTTCACCTGATCTTTCAGGCATCCCTGTGTACAGGAATCGTAGCAGACGGGTGGAAACAGGCTAACATAGTTCCAATCTACAAAAGTGGCAGCAGGGAAGACCCCCTCAATTATAGACCTGTATCATTAACAAGTGTAATAGTGAAAGTATTGGAAAAACTAATCAAAACTAAATGGGTAGAACACCTAGAGAGAAATGATATAATATCAGACAGACAGTATGGTTTTCGATCTGGAAGATCCTGTGTATCGAATTTACTCAGTTTCTATGATCGAGCCACAGAGATATTACAGGAAAGAGATGGTTGGGTTGACTGCATCTATCTGGACCTAAAAAAGGCTTTCGACAGAGTTCCACATAAGAGGTTGTTCTGGAAACTGGAAAATATACAGGCTCCAGACCCCACACAACCTATATATTATGTGAGAAATCACACACACACACAGGCTCCAGCCACATAAAGAACACACACACACAGAATTCCAGCCACATGGATGGCGATATACTAAAGAAATTGTTCATGACACACACAGGCTCCAGCCACACAGAAAAGGTGCAAAGACATGCTACTAAGTGGCTCCCAGAACTGAAGGGCAAGAGCTACGAGGAGAGGTTAGAAGCATTAAATATGCCAAAACTAGAAGACAGAAGAAAAAGAGGTGATATGATCACTACATACAAAATAGTAACAGGAAGACAAAATCGACAGGGAAGACACCTGGAACTTCAAGAACAAGAGGTCATAGACACAGGCTCCAGACCACACAGAAGGTGGTGGAGGCCAACACACACAAAGAGGCTCAAACACTAGCTAAACACAGATGCCGAAGAAATATAAGAAAATTCACACATGCTCCACACACACACAGAGTGCTCCAGCCACCACACGTAGCTCTCATCCACACACAGGCTCCAGTAATTACAGGCTCCAGCCACACACACACACACACACACAGGCTCCAGCCACACACAGGCTCCAGCCACACACACACACACAGGCTCCAGCCACACACACACACACAGGCTCCAGCCACACACACACACACAGGCTCCAGCCACACACACACACAGGCACAGCCACACAGACACACACAGGCTCCAGCCACACACACACACACACAGGCTCCAGCCACACAGGCTCCAGCCACACACACACACAGGCTCCAGCCACACACACACAGACACAGGCTCCAGCCACACACACACACACAGGCTCCAGCCACACACACACACACAGGCTCCAGCCACACACACACACACAGGCTCCAGCCACACACACACACACAGGCTCCAGCCACACACACACACACAGGCTCCAGCCACACACACACACACAGGCTCCAGCCACACACACACAGGCTCCACACACACACAGGCTCCAGCCACACACACAGGCTCCAGCTCCACACACACACACACAGGCTCCAGCCACACACACACACACAGGCTCCAGCCACACACACACACACAGGCTCCAGCCACACACACACACACAGGCTCCAGCCACACACACACACACAGGCTCCAGCCACACACACACACACAGGCTCCAGCCACACACACAGGCTCCAGCCCACACCACACACACAGGCTCCAGCCACACACACACACACACAGGCTCCAGCCACACACACACACACAGGCTCCAGCCACACACACACACACACACACACAGGCTCCAGCCACACACACACACACACACACACAGGCTCCAGGCACAGCCACACACACACACACACAGGCTCCAGCCACACACACACACACACACAGGCTCCAGCCACACACACACACACAGGCTCCAGCCACACCACACACACACACACAGGCTCCAGCCACACACACACACACACAGGCTCCAGCCACACAGACACACACAGGCTCCAGCACACACACACACAGGCTCCAGCCACACACACACACACACAGGCTCCAGCCACACACACACACACAGGCTCCAGCGACACACACACACACACAGGCTCCAGCCACACACACACACACAGGCTCCAGCCACACACACACACACAGGCTCCAGCCACACACACACACACACAGGCTCCAGCCACACACACACACACAGGCTCCAGCCACACACACACACACAGGCTCCAGCCACACACACACACACAGGCTCCAGCCACACACACACACACAGGCTCCAGCCACACACACACACACAGGCTCCAGCCACACACACACACACAGGCTCCAGCCACACACACACACACAGGCTCCAGCCACACACACACACACACAGGCTCCAGCCACACATACACACACAGGCTCCAGCCACACAGACACACACAGGCTTCAGCCACACAGACACACACAGGCTTCAGCCACACAGACACACACAGGCTCCAGCCACACAGACACACAAAGGCTCCAGCCACACAGACACACAAAGGCTCCAGCCACACAGACACACAAAGGCTCCAGCCACACAGACACAAAGGCTCCAGCCACACACACAGACTCCAGCCACACACACAGACACAGGCTCCAGCCACACACACAGACACAGGCTCCAGCCACACACACAGACACAGGCTCCAGCCACACACACAGACACAGGCTCCAGCCACACACACAGACACAGGCTCCAGCCACAGACACAGGCTCCAGCCACACACACAGACACAGGCTCCAGCCACACACACACACACAGGCTCCAGCCACACAGACACACACAGGCTCCAGCCACACAGACACACACAGGCTCCAGCCACACAGACACACACAGGCTCCAGCCACACAGACACACACAGGCTCCAGCCACACAGACACACACAGGCTCCAGCCACACAGACACACACAGGCTCCAGCCACACAGACACACACAGGCTCCAGCCACACAGACACACACAGGCTCCAGCCACACAGACACACACAGGCTCCAGCCACACAGACACACACAGGCTCCAGCCACACAGACACACACAGGCTCCAGCCACACAGACACACACAGGCTCCAGCCACACAGACACACACAGGCTCCAGCCACACAGACACACACAGGCTCCAGCCACACAGACACACACAGGCTCCAGCCACACAGACACCATCAAAACATTGCCCCAGTCACTGCCTACCGAAGAATCCTGAAGGAAGTGTGAAGATAAAAGCTACTCACATCACCCCAGGTCTCGCTGCTCGACAACAATAACAATACGAGGCTGCAGCCTCCACGAGACTCCGGGCAGGAAAATAAGTGAGGAAACTTGTGCTCAGAGATGGTTGGCAGGAAGATGAGCGGGATATGAGAGGGAACTGGGTCTGACCAGGCGCCCCTGACGCCGCCAGTGGACACGTCCCTCACACCTCACACTCTCTCCTCGTCTCTACATCATGTGCTCCACTCCTCACCACAGACACACCTCAAATAACGAAACATTATTGATTATCGCGTCTGTCACCATCGCCGATCATCTGACTCTCGTAAACATTGCTATGAAAATCGATCCAAGCAAAACAATCGACCATTTTCCCGCGACTTTGACCCTTGTGTCGCCCCCGCATTGGATCGCGTTTGGCTATTTATTCTATTATTATTTTTTTAATGCTATTAATCGCCATACTGGGAGACATTTACTGGTTATTAGGGGTTATTATGAGTGAAATATTTACTGTTTACCCGTTTTCTTTGGGTTTGACATATGAGGTTAAGGAAACTAAGCAGTCATAACCTGGCTACAGTGAGCACAGCTAATCATAACACTGTTTCAGGCACCCAATAGCAGACCAGCTCTGTGAACTCCTGTATTCCCATTGGTCCAGCAAAATCAGAATGAGACCGTCGTCCCGTTGACTTTATATACGTATATAGCATTCAATACAAAATAATTAAATGAGATAAATACATTTTTATAAAACTAAATATAAAATATATATATTTAGCTATAATGTTCGTCAAATAAAGTTATTAGTCATTTAGAGGATCAAGTCGAGGGCTGAGCCGAGTGACGAATCAAAACAAACTTGTTGTGGAGCGGCCGGGTGATGGTGCGGTGTCCTCCCGGGTCAGTCTCGTGTCCTCGCTGCTCTCTCACCAATAAAGATGACGGAGTCGCTACCGGTGAACAAGGTGGTGGTGCACCCGCTGGTGCTGCTGAGCGTGGTGGACCACTTCACCAGGATGTCCAAGATCGGCAGCACCAAACGTGTGGTCGGGGTCCTCCTGGGGTCGTGGCGCTCCAAGGGCGTCCTCGATGTCTCGAATTCTTACGCAGGTACACACACACACACTTAAGGATAAGGGGCACCACAGAAGGCCTCTTGGCCCTTACGAGGCAGCTCCCATTTATATCCACCCGAACTCATTTATATATATGTGTAACCTATGCTTGAAACGAGTGATTCCACGTCTGTTGTGTTACTTGGTAATTTGTTAAATAGTGTGTGTGTGTGTATATATATATTTATATATTTATATATATATATATATATAATATATATATATATATATATATATATATATATATATATATATATATATATATATATATATATATATATATATATATATATATATATATATATATATATATATATATATATATATATACACACATGCAACAACGATCACTAAAACATTGATCCATGTATGCAAAAAAACACACTTGAAAATTTAGAGTATGCTGAATGTGTTTTCGGCTCAATTCGCCTTCATCAGAGCAAGATAGAGAGGCAGGAGGGAAGATTTGGTGGGCCAAACTTAAGTCAGCCATCAAGGGGTGACAGGTCACCTGACCACCAGTAATTGGAGATGAAACCTTACATTATGGGGAAGATAGGAAGACTAAATAGGGTGAACAAATGTTCTCTCCTCTCATAGTGAAATAAAGGGTATCAACAAAAAACACAAAAGAATGGCGTTTAATCCCTAAAAGTGCCACCTGTCGGAAAACTCCACAAAAAAAAAAAAAACTGGCTAAATGGATGCTACATTGTATTGATGTGCTATATTGAAGCTTATATGGGGGATCTAATTTGGACATGCCAGGGCTAACATTATAGCTGTTGGTACATTGTTTAATCAGGACCGACTCAATCAAATTTTGTTCAACGAAACCCATACTCTTAACAATGCATTTGGTCCCTCTGAAGTCAGTAGAATGATCACATAACCTGGAATGTAAATACAATGCACTAGAGTGGTGGGCTGTGTGAATAACATAAGAGTGTTGTTTTAAACATGAGGAAAGAGATTTACCAGTTTGGCCGATGTAAACAAACCCAAACTCATTGCAAAGGATGGAGTACACACAGCCTGCTACAGACTTAATTAAAATGTAGTTAAATGTATTATCTTCTTGATAAACAAAATTATTATTTTTGATACAAAATAGTCATGATACTATATACTGTATTTTGAATGGCACAATAAATAGATGTGATATTTTTAATATTTTATTATTTAATGCCAGGAATCTTTTACTGTATTATTCACCTTTGTTTCTCCAGGTTGATGCCATCTTACTCATGAAAGTGGGAGAAGTAATTATAACATGTTGGCAAAATTTATTGAAAGCCATATTAGATATTGCTAATAAACTAAATTATTTTCAGTTCCTTTTGATGAAGATGAAAAGGACAAATCTGTTTGGTTCCTTGACCATGACTACTTGGAGAATAAATACAATATGTTTAAAAAGGTGAGAAATTATAATGTAATTTTTTTCAATTTTGGGATCTGTTGTATAAGAGTGCTTGCTCTGTAGGGTCAATGTTTAAGGTAATGGAGTTCCACTCTATGGGGTTTGGTAAGGCCCCCCCCCCCCTTCTTGGGAAACACTTCCCAGCAAAAGAATAAAAGATACCAAATATGGTCTGTTGTCTAGAAAAAGATTTCCTACCCCTACTCTAATGGATGAGTGAAACTCTGGCTTCAAATTACCTTAATATTTATTAACCCTAATTCCCCTAAATACAATAAATGCCTTACCACTTCGATCTTATGTTACCTCACTGAATCCACATAGACAGGAAACGAGAGTTACATACAGCAAAACTAGAGGTAAGGTCTACTTTCCTTAAGGTACAGAACACAATACTTTATAACTTCAACACGCAACATGTTTTCACTAAGCCACCCCACAGGGCTTAACATCAGGAACCCAAAATAATGGACTAGGACATACACACACACACACTATACACTATACACTATACACTTAGAACAACAACTAGTGGCACGGTAACAAATAGATATTTATCTATTTTGTTATTTAAAGAATAAAGAGAGAGGATAGTGGAAGGAGGTAAAGAGAGATAGATAGCCACATGGCCAAAAACGTCCACCCAGCGCCTGAGCCGATAGAGAAGCTTTCTCTTACCATGAGGCTGCTGCCCGAGTCATTAAACTGATTGTTCAGTAACAATTATTTATCCTCCAATACAAACATTTACTTGCCACTAATCAGTTCTAGACATAACTAACATCCTAGCTTTACACTACATAATACAGTAATATAACAGAGTATTACAACTGTGAGCATCAAGGTGTTCCTACGTCTGGCAGGGAAACGGGACCGCCATTTCCCAAGCCGATTTTTTAAGTCCTCTTGAATATAAGACTGCCAGATAATGTTTCCTCCTTCATAACCCAACCTATCCTCCAGCTCTATAATTATAATGCTCTATAATTTAACTAGTCAAAAATCCCCCACACAATCCCAAACAATCAGGGCCTATCACTAAGATACTGGAGTGAATGGTCCCTGCATGTGTGTAAACAGGAGCATTATGATCCTGGTTCCATTGCAGAATGCCAATCTTGGATCCAGGGTCGTAACAGGATCATAAAAAAAATGGGTATAAAAAACTGCAAGAGGCCTATTGTCCTATACAAAGCAGTTATATTTATAGCCACCCAAACTCATTCATATAAATTATATATCTAACCTTCTCTTGAAACAAGCCAGTGCCTATTGTTTCATAAACTACATCCCTATTCCCAATCCAGGATTTACAAAGGTCTGTTTTGAGTCTAAACTTGTCCAATTTGTAGCCATTGATGCATGTATTTTGTATTGACGCTATATTTAACATCCTATTAATATCCCCATTGTTATTCCCTTTCATTCATTTGACTACTACAATCATGTCACCACTATGCCTTTTGTCTAAGTTTTTAGCTGAAGACATGTGCTGCATTTAAACCTGATGACTACATATTGTTTCTTAATTATTATTTTTTTTAGCTGTGGTGGTTTAACGAATTAATGGATTTGCTTTAAGCTTTCCTGTTATTGAATAGTTCATGTATTGTAGCTTTGTCAACACTAGTTTTATCTTTTTGCTCTTTTCAAGCTACAAAAATATCATTAGTCATCTTGAGTGAATTTGGGTATTGGAAATTAATACCAAAAGAGTTGCATTCCAGTATGTATCTTATGCATTAATTTTACACTTCCAAATTCTTACTTAGAGAAATGTTCAGTTTTTAAATGTTGATTCTTTAAGGCACTCGAGATCAAAATGTTTGATCTTTAATATTATCCAGAAAGTATTAGACAAGTAAATTATATATCACAAATCTGAAAACAGTGAATCTTATAAATCTTGTGTACTGTTTGCCTGGGATAACTCAAAGGTTTGTTTATGGTACACACAATGTTAGGAGTGGATTTGTGAGCAGTATTGTAAATGCTACTTTATAATATATTCATAGTATTACACTGAGTTAGACATTTTGGTTACTGTTCCATATGTTTACTACAGTATTTATTCAAGAAAGTTTGGTATAACTAATATATACATAACTAATGAAGGATTTCTATACTCCAAACTCCAGTTTATTCTTCCAAGTCAGGTAGATACTATAAAAATAAAGAGATTTTCAACTTGCAAACAATAAGTCACAGCAACATGGTTGAAAATTTGAAACCTAACCCAGAAATCTGAAAATAAGGTAATTGATGACAATTTCGATTTCGTCCAGAACCATTATCACATCATATATAGTACACGACTGGTTAATGGTCTTGGTTGGATGCCAAATTTTCACCTTTTGTCAAGTTAGAGATACTAATTCTGCATGTACAGTATTGCATTAGTGTGGGAGAGAAGACTTAAAAGGGAGTGAGAACAAAATTATAGTTATGGCGCCAAAGAGAGAGGGGACTTATGTGTGTGAAATAAATGTGAAGTGTTAGATTAGTTTAAATAGTGGAGATCTATGATAGACAGAAGAATTTGGATGTAGAATATGAGAGCAGGATGAATCAGAGAAGGAAAGTAGCTGGTGCAATGAAAGCCTTGGTTAGGAAATTCAAGAGAAAAGGCCAGAAGACTTCATGAAGGCGTTGTGATGTGTGCTCATATGTAAGGAAGTGTGATGGTGGTGGTATGATTAGGAAAAATCAAGACAGTGCATTATAGACAATCTGGGAAGCATGTGTGGTGTTAGAAAAATACAGTATATCAGAGTAAAAAATAACAATTTAATGGAGAAGTGTAGAGGACATGGGTAATAAACATCAAGATGAGGGGAATATTTTAAGTAAATGATGAGAGACTGGTAAAGAGAGCTTGAGAGTAGGAGAATAGAAACATTGGGAAAAAGATCGGTAGATGTTGTGTGTGTGTGTGAGGAAGCTATCATTCAATGTGATCAACGAAACAAGTTGTGGTAAGGTACATGGCTGGATGGAAGCACTTTGTGAGGAGACAGTAAATGTATTTATTTTCTGTGGAGAGCCCCTTCGGCTCCCAGGAGCTATAACGGGCTGATGTGTATATATTAGACCGTGACAACAGTCAATCGAAGGAGTTCTAGGCCTACCGAGGACTAGAGCCAGAACCTGGCCCCTTCAAGAGAGGCACGAGGAGGTTTTGATTGGAGAATTCTGTTGCTAGTTAGGCTTTCGGTTTGCAAATTATTTAATCAGCAGTAGTTTGTTTTGGAATTCCTACCTTTTCTGGGTGCCTGACCTGGTAGATGGCAGACAAAGACTGCTTCCAATTACATGGGGGTGTCTTTAGGCCATTGCTCCTCGTGCCTCTCTTGAGGGGGCCAGGTTCTGGCTCTGGTCCCCGGTAGGCCAAGAACTCCTTCGACTGACTGTTGCCATGGTCTAATATATACACATCAGCCCGGTATAGCTCCGGGTCGCCTCCGGGTCACACCCAGAAAATGGCATTTCATTACATTCAATGCTGGTTTTTATTGTTTTTCAATTCACAAATAGCAATCTACATCTGAAATCTACACTGTATGGAGGCAGACTCCATACACGGTTACAAATATCAATATGATAGAGGCCAATAGGCTCAGGATACACTAGTTGATTGACAGTTGAGAGGCTGGACCAATGAGCTGACGCTCAACCCCCGCAAGCACAACTAGACGAGTGCATCTAGTTTAATAAAGCGGTGAAGTGCTGCTGTGAATAATTACAAGACTACAAAGTATTAGTGCTTTCTTATCCACATATCTGTATAGTGTGAAAGATTTACTAAATGTACAAGTATTTTTGTACAATATCTATTAACCTTTCATTATATTGTTCCATTTCTGTGGGGAGCCCAGTAGGCTCCAGGGAGCCTCCGGGGCTCACCTGAAAACTGCATTTCATTTCATTAAACGTTGGTTTTTTCTTTCCTCTGGGCTGAAGCTTTTCCATCCAGTGAAAGTGAAAAATTGGGCACTTATGATCACTAACGGTGTATGTATATTTATGAAGTAATAGAACTACAACATTTTCCAACATTTGTTCCCCATAGGTTAATGCCCGCGAGAAGATTGTTGGATGGTATCATACAGGACCAAAGCTCTGCCAGAACGACATTGCCATTAACGATTTGGTCAAGAGGCATTGTGGTAATTCAGTTTTAGTGATCATTGATGCTCATGCATCAAATATCGGACTTCCTACAGAAGCTTATTACAGTGTGGAGGAGGTTCATGATGTAAGTACAATTTGTATTTTGAATCAGCCATCAAAATGTTACACTATGATTGATTTTGAGTGTTGATTGTTGCTTATGTATACCTGGGCCCCATAATTTTTTTATTAGTTTGAGAAATTACTGTACCATATATGGTATATGCTAAAAATAATTGCTGCAGATTGCTATTAACATAAAGGTAATTGAAATCTGCTTATGTTTCTTTATCTAATCACAATTTCTTGCATGGTAATGGAATAGTTTCTATATAGTTTATTTGATATAGCATCTTTAACTTTTGTAAATTTTACACCCACAAAAATATTGAGGATACAAGGAGATAAGCCATTGTTAGCAGACTATAAGAAACTAGCATTATGTATCTTAATACATATCAATAGTAGTAAGGTTACCCCATTGAAAAGTTCAGTATTTTCAATACTATCCGTTTTATGTCATGACAAATGATGAGGTGTGCAGCAGTGTAATGGAAATGTTCTTGCAGGATGGTACGCCCACAACCAAAACATTTGAGCATGTAGCAAGTGAAATTGGTGCGGAGGAGGCTGAAGAGGTTGGGGTGGAGCATCTATTGAGAGATATTAAGGTGAGTGCAAAATTTGTGCCAAGTCAAATTAGGTTCAGCATGATTTTTGTATACATTGTGGTGGAAGTTAGAATGTAGGAAATGAAATATAATAGGTGGATTATGCTGAATGTATATGAGAGTTTAATAAGTGTTGGAAACACAGATTAAACTAGAAAATGTTTATAAGCCCTTGTGTGTGTATGGGAATGATTATAGCTATTATAAGTATTATCATAAACTGGTATAAATACAAAACTTAAATGCAGTCTTAATATGCAACAAATGATGTGCAGCTTATGATATAAAGATATTACACATGTAATGAGGTGTACTAAATCTTACATACTATACTGGGAGGCCTAATTATAAAACGTGTGCTGTAATTGTCTAAGTAGTTACAGGATGAGAGCTTTCCTCACGGTGTCCTGTCTTTCCAGTATTCTTGTTATATGACGCTTTAAAACTACCGATTGTTTTGGCATCCACCGCCCTCTAGCTTAACACTCCAACTATCTCCCATTCTGCAAAAGAGAACTTGTTCTTGAAGTTGCAGGTCTCGTGAATTCCTCCTTTTTAATTTTGTCAATTCCTTTTACTATTTTGTACATAGTGATTATATCATTTTTTATGTTTTCCCATCTTCTAGCTTTGGCATATTTAACACCTCTAGCCTCTCCTCACATCTCATTTATCAGTTCTGGAAGCCATTTAGTACTATGTCTTTGCACCTTTTCCAATTTATTGATATGCTTTTGAGATAGGGGGCACAATAGATCCGCTGCATATTCCAGTTTTGGTTTTTACAAAAGTCATGAACAGTTCCTTTAATATTTCACTGTCCGTGTATTTAAAAATGATTGTGAAGTTAGAAAGCATAGCATACACCCCTCACACAATGTTCTATGTGGTCGTCTTGTGACAGTCTACTCTCCAGAATCAAATTCAAATTTTTATTCAGGTAAAAGTACATACATAGATGATGAGTTACAAACATGATGTTGGATTTATAGACAGAGCTAGTACATACAATACCTAAAGCCACTAATACTTTCTGGCAACTTGAACATTATTGGTGAACATTAGTGGTTCTAGAACTGAACTCCATGGTGCTCCACTAGTAATGTTTCTCCAATCTACATTGCCTCTGATTACTCCTCTCATTTTTCTGTCAGAAAATTTTTCTGCCATGTCAGAAGTCTTCCTGTCACCCCTCCAGTATATTACAGTTTCCTTGTTGCTATGTTTTTTATTCTGTGTACTTAGTAAATGATCTAGTTACCTAGCTAGTTAGTTTTTGGGATTCACATTGCAAATTCAGGATTAAGAGTGAATATTGTTTGTTTAGCCAGACATTCACCCCCAAAATAAAGTATCTTACTCAAAGATAATTAGTTTGCCAGGTATGACTGATTAGGAGGCACGGAATAAAGAGCTGGATTTGACTCCCCCCAGTCACTGATAGATAAGTACCAGAATATTATAGAAAGTAATGCCCTCAGGAAACAGTCATAAATTATATGGGCTTTATTTTCTTCCTGCATATTTTAAAGGGTGCCCTTCTATCTCTATCAGTAATCGAATCTACAATTATTGACTTAAATTACTTCATGAGGATTTTATTCAAAATTTGGCATCCTTCACTTGTATAGGAAATATGCATTTCAGGGCCTTTCTTCACCTTTTTCTTTTATCACATTCGAGCTACATTACATATACAGTAGTCTAGTAATACATATATCCAAAGAAAATGGTTTTTGTCTGAATAAAATTTGTGTGTGTGTTTCAGGATACAGTGGTGGGCTCTCTAGGGCAGCGCATCACAACACAACTCCTGGGTCTTCGTGGCCTACACAAACAGCTTAGCGAAGTGGCCAATTACCTCCGACAAATTGTGGAGGGAACGTTACCTGTTAACCACACCATAGTCTATCACCTACAGGTAAAATGAAAATGTTCTCTGCCTTCCAATGAAATAAAGAATATGTAGCCAGTTATCTTATTGATCTTAAGCAGATGGGTAGGAGGGCGAACTTTGTGGGGTGTGTTTGACCCTTTGACAGCAGCTATAGAAAAAATGGTCATTCCTGCCTATGCATAAAAAATACAAAAAAAGAATTAAATAAATAATTTTTTTTCAGATTTATTTATTATGCATCCTATACCCATCCTGTGGGATGTGGTAGAAAGGGTTACAGAGGTACATAATGGGTTCAGAAACTGAACCCCATAATTAATTTAGCTAAGCAAATGACAATGTGATCTGACATTTGTCAACACAAGTGCCAAACTTTGCTGATTCTGAGGTATGCCAGACACCACTCCTGGGTCCTCCTCAAATCTTTCACCAATTGTTTATCACTTGTTTCTCTATTTACAAGAGTATGTGTGTTGAATAACTTGATAAATTACATAATTCACACAGCATGTGATAATGTTTCAATTGATGATTCATTTACCTGGTATACTTCATTACAACCATATAGAGTAGTAAAAAGCATATACACATAATGTACAATGATGTTAGTTTTGGGCGATGACATATGGGCGGGAGTATAGACTGAAACAAAGGCACTAACTACCAGTGTGCCAACCTAAGATGACAACAGGCTCTTAGTACATGAATTCATGATAATGGTTCAATTGATGGTTGGTTGGCCTGGTATACCTCATTACAACCAGAGTTCTGAAAACCATATAACTATCATTGGTATACATATCATGTAATTATGATGGAATTTTATGCAATGATGATCTTGAGGTTATCTTGAGATGATTTCGGGGCTTTATTGTCCCCGCGGCCCGGTCCTTGACCAGGCCTCCACCCCCAGGAAGCAGCCCGTGACAGCTGACTAACACCCAGGTACCTATTTACTGCTAGGTAACAGGGGCATAGGGTGAAAGAAACTCTGCCCATTGTTTCTCGCCAGCGCCTGGGATCGAACCCAGGACCACAAGATCACAAGTCCAGTGTGCTGTCTGCTCGGCCGACCGGCTCCCCATGATGACCGCATTCACTTAGTAACATTCATGAAGATAACCACATTCACATGGTAAAGTAACTATGATGAAATGATAGGATTTTTTCATGGATTAAGGTAAACTTCCTTACATCCAGAGAGCAATTATATACTTAATTGCATCATACATTTAAAACACACAATAATTGTTTAGATCATCGTATGACAATAACCACATTACCACGTGAATCAACATACAGTACAGCAAGAACCACTGTCAAGAGATAAAAATTTGGGGTGGAGAGAAAGGTTTTGTGAACATGCTGAACTCTGTAATCCATGAGACTCTAAGGACAAATAAATTTCTGAGGTTATCCTGCTTTGGCCTCCTCGATGGTCCCTTAAAACCAGTGGAATATGAAATCTGGTGGGACCCTGGTAGGTGACAACAGTATTGAAGATCCTTGGTCTTCACTCCAGTATTGTCCAAGTGAAGATTGTGTGTAGTGAGGACACATTTGTAGGGGAGTTCTTCAGCTGAGCTTGGATAGTGTAGTGAAAATTGAATGTTGTCAAGATATATGTTGATGGTGACAATATGTATTAAGATGTAGTTCATAATTGAAATCTCTTGGGGGAGGGGTTACAGGGGGGGGGTGTGACTGGATCAGCCCCAGTTTTGTCCCCAGGCAATGTTGAGTGCCCCTTGCTAGTAATATATATGTTAATAATTTTAACTTATTTTCCACACAGGACATGTTCAACCTGCTGCCAGATGTGACCAACCCTGCACTAGTGAAGTCCCTCTATGTCAAAACCAACGACCAGATGTTGGTGGTGTACCTGGCATCGCTCATCCGCTCTGTGATCGCCCTTCACAACCTCATCAACAACAAGCTGGCCAACACTGATGCAGAAAAAAAGGAAGGCAAAGATAAGGACAAGGACAAGGATAAGGATAAAGATAAAGACAAAAAAGATGGAGATAAGGAGAAGAAAGATGAATCAAAAGATGAAAAGAAGAGTGATGAAAAGAAGTAATCGAATAAATGACATTAAAATGTAATATTTATTCTTAAATATGTGTAACATCAGGAAATATTCCCTAATATGACCAGTGTAGTGAATGAGAATAAACATCTTTGCAGGTAAATGCTTTAACTGGATTTTAAAATTGAAAAGTGCTAGAAACATTATTCAAGACTAGCTTTCTACAAGCTGAATGTCAGTGTTCGTATTGGTGTTATAATGCAGAAAGACGTTACTACTGTTCATATCTGCTAGATACACGCTGAAGCAGATATATAATTCCTTTATTTTATGGATGAAGCGGCTCTTTTTCAAATGTCAGCGATACGTTTAATGCCGCAGTTTATACAAACCATGAAATAAATTTCATGTGAACTTCTTGCTAGCTATAATATGTGGATAAGGTTTGTGTACCCCATAATCAACAAAGTTTTCTTTGCTCATCATTTAGCTAGCACTATCACAATAAGAGAAATTTTCCAATATTTTGTATAATATAATTGTGTAGAAGGAAGTATTTAAAGCTGCATTAACATGACTACACACTTTACCTTAGGAAGTGGTATGGCCAATTGATACGTACTTCTGGGAAGTTTTGGGTCCGAGCTTCATGGGGATTCTTTTCTGTAGCATTAAATATAAATTTCATATATACAATCTTTTATTGCCTTGTTTGTAGTCCACTACATATATTTTGTATTATGTAAAAATATTAATGGTACAGACACTTGCAAAATAAGACTGCCTCATTTATAAAATAATGATACACCATCACACAAGGTACTAGTATGTTCACAACAAGTACAGGTTCTAATTATCTAAAGAAGGCACCAAGCTGGGAAAGGCTATGTAGCACCATCAAATGTGCTGAATAATCATAGGACGCTAAATATCACTAAGGATGCCAATATGAGAACAAACAAATAAGGCGAACGATAACAAAAAAGTATCCGATTCACCAAGAATTCTATCAAGAGACAGGTGACCGCGAGGGACGGTCGGGAAGCAAGACACGCTTGTCCTGAAAGTCGGGGACATTCAACAAGGATATGCACGACTGTAAGGGGGACAATAAGGAGAAGGGCGTCGCTCCATTTAAGTGTCCACGAGTTAAGCATGTATGGCCAATACACAACCTCGCCAGAGCCGTTTTCCCACCGCCGGTTACAGTGGTTAGAGGAAGGCCACAGTTTGTTGCCAATAACAAATAACATTTCCTGTCCTCATTTAAAAATTGTGGTGCATTAAGTCCTAATATTAATGCTTCTTTTTGATAAATGAGCATCAGCCTTGATAGGTTAGATGGGTGCCCTAGTTTCATATGCTTGGAACATGTAAAAACCAGTTTAAATTTGAATCTTATCAAATCATTTATAAGAATAGGTTGGATAACAGCATACACTGTAACTAGTTTATCCTTCAATTTTATTTAAGAATAAAGATATCTCAAATATTAAAAAGAGCAACAATTGACAACTTCCACTCCATTTTAAACATGGGAAGCTTTGCCTTTACTTACACTGTCCAAATTGAGGGATGAACATTTCTTGTGGGACTAGGAAAATGTCAATCTAAAGTATAGTATTTACACAACTCCTCCCTTGACTAGTTCCTGAGGGAAATAAAGAGCACATCTTTCATTGTTTATAAATGTATTACAACTGGTATATGATACTAATATATGTTGAACATTCTGATAGGCTAAATAAGTTTTCAAATAAGTCACATAACTAAGACTAGACAAGGTGCACTAATTAATCAATCATCTTGTTGAACAAAAGGTTTGACACAGGTAATAATAATTTATAATAATAATAATATAATAAAGTGATGATAATTTATGGTATATGAGCATGTACAGCTGGCTTCGTTCCTGACTCCTTATCAGGGATCCAGGGTTCTATTCCCGGGTGAGACAAATGAATGATCACGATGATCACAGGCCATATAACACTGAAAATTTAATGACATGTAACCTATGTATTTACTTCTTGTGTAGGCGAGTACTGTAGAGCGAATCTCAAAATATATGAAAAGACTTGTCAACACCTATGTTTTCACAGAATTAATTTTATCATTTTAAAAATAATTTTTCATTGTTTTTCAGATTCATTTATTTATTATACACCCCATACCCATCCCGTGGGCTGTGGTAGAAAGGGATACAGAAGAACATAATGGGTTCAGAAACTGAAGCCCACAATTAATTTAGCTAAGCAAATGACAATAGAATTATTAATTTGTATGCAAAATGGAAGAAAAACTTGAAAATATTCTTTTTCACGTTTTTAAATATCAATTTACTGGGTGCAGACGCAATACCAGAGAACTTCTGTTGATGCTGTTCTTGTCGTTAGAACGTAAGACCGCACTGCTGCATCCACTGAAGAGAACCACTTGAGCTGCCAGAAGGAGTGTATTCCGCACCAACATAGTCACTGTACCCTGTGTGCAAATCGAATGACTTTAGAATATGAAATATTAACAGGTTCAAGAAATAATTTATATCTGATTTACCTGAGGGCCACTAACACTAGTGGCCTCAACGAGGATAGGAAGCCGTCGGCTTATTGAAGGTCCCCCCCCCCCCCCATTTGCTGTGATGATCCTCTCCAGGTGGATTTTAGAATCCTAAATCTATAGTACACTCCCATTATTTATACCTGTACTTCAATCTTATGTAGAATATCCTTCAAGTCAAAATGGTGTACACACCTGAAAATTACCGTCATCCATCATTCATTTTACACTACTATACTGAAATTTTACAACCTATATACAAACATGATGTTTCAACCTTCCATTCCATCAGCTTTGCTTTTGTTCAGCAAGATATTCACACTATGACATTTTACATACACTTTAAGCCTAAATGCACACACATGAAATGAATTGAAAGTGATAACATTTCAGTCTATCTAGGACCCTTATCAAGTCTTAACATGAGGATCCAGGATGGATTGAAACATCATAATTTGTATTCATTTCCTTTCGTATGTGGAATGCATTATTTCTTTTCAGTCACCTTATTATGACACTACAAATCACAATAACGAAAGTAAAAAAATGTGAAATAGCTGATTCAGCAGTTTCCTCAGTACCACAAATGTGTTACTAGTATATGTTAGATACTTGTGAATGAGCAAGAAGTCTATGGAAAACATGAGTCAACAACCAAAAATGTTAATGTTTAGGTGATACTTTCAGTGAGGATATTTTTTGATCACCTGTATATGGTAATATTTGTAACTTAATACCTCCCAATACCTCCCAATATTCTTTATTTTACACCATACTTTCATTCCTAGCTACAACCTCTCCACTTCTCTTTAAGGGGCGGGGAAATGAAAAATATTTACTAAAAATCAAACTTTTTCGAAAAAATTCCAGTGAAATCGTGTTGGCTATGGCATAACAGTTGCGAAATTTTGTCCAAAAATGTTAATATATATTTTACGAATAATTCTTACCCCCCCCCCTCCCTGACCACCATGATGGGGACCAGATGCCTTATATATATGTGCCTTATCACATATATAAGCAATAAAGTTAATGAAATAGTTTTTTACCCCCTAACACAACCACTACTGCAATGCATGTTGAAATATAATGACAATCATCAGAACACAAGTAAATATGCAGTACAGATAATAATATAGACAAAGGCTATCAATTCGTACCTGTGAAATGTTGTAAACTTATATTGTATTATACTATTAATTTTATGTATGTATAAAGTATATATGTGAATGTATTTATTTTTGTATTTTTTTTTTACTTCATTTCAAAACATATTGACCCACAACTTTCACATTTTGGTGTACGAATGCCCAGCAATATTTATTAAAACATACAAGTAGATAAATAAATTAGGACTACCATATACATCATCAATAACTTTAACTTCAATTATCTCGAAAACTAGAAATTTAACTTTGAGTAAGCTTCATAAATCCAGTTTCTCATCGATTCTCACCATTTTTACATATAGTGTAATTACCTAAGTGTAGTTACATTATGAGAGCTACGCTCGTGGTGTCCCATCTTCCCAGCACTCTTTGTCATATAACACTTTGAAACTATTGACAGTTTTGGTCTCCACCACCTTCTCACCTAACTTGTTCAACCGTCTACCATTCTGTTTACAAAAGTTAATTTTCTTATATTTCTCCGGCAGCTTTGTTTCGTTAGTTTAAATCTATGACCTCTTGTTCTTGAAGTTCCGGTCTCAGGAATTCTTCCCTATCAGTTTTATCGATTCCTGTTACTGTTTTGTACGTAGTGATCATATCGCCTCTTTTTCTTCTGTCTTGTAGTTTTTGCATATTTAATGCCTCTAACCTCTCCTCATAGCTCTTGTTCTTCAGTTCTGGGAGCCACTTAGTGGCATGTCTTTGCACCTTTTCCAGTTTGTTGATGTGCTTCTTAAGATATGGGCACCATACAACCGCTGCATATTCCAGCTTTGGTCTAACAAAAGTCATGAACAATTTCTTTAGTATTTCTCCATCCATGTATTTAAAAGCAATTCTGAAGTTAGAAAGTGTAGCATAGGCGGCTCCTCGCACACTATTCTTAATGTGGACCTCAGGTGACAGTTTTCTATTAGAACCACCCCTAGATCCCTTTCTTTGTCAGAATTCTTTAAAGATTTCTCGCATAATTTATAGGTTGTGTGGGGTTTATGTTCTCCTCTTCCACATTCCATAACATGGCATTTACTCACATTAAATTCCAATTGCCAAGTATTGCTCCATATACTTATTTTGTCCAGGTCTTCTTGAAGGGCATGACAATCATCTAGGTTTCTTAGCTTCCCTATTATCTTAGCATCATCAGCAAACATGTTCATATAATTCTGTATTCCAACTGGTAGATCCTTTATGTAAACAATGAACATTACTGGTGCAAAAAAAATATAAAAAGTGCATACAACTGTCTGCGTACAACCTGTCTGTTCTACAATTCCATAGATTGTTTTTTTCATAAACCCCACACATTTGTAGTTATATATTTTTTGTGTGTAAATTTGGCACATATTTCAAAGGCCATATTTATAATTTTTTTACACTAAACTATACTGAAAATCTATATTCTAAATCAATGAAAATGAAGATCATATGCTGTTCTGAACGCCTAATACCACCAAATGAACAATTGGTGATATTTTCTATTTTTGAAGTTGATTTGAAAATCTGAAAATTTCAAGATTTTTATTTTTTATTTTCTTGTTTTACATGTTACGTTGTTGATCATTCACACAAAGATGGAGCATTTGCCTAGTAGATTATGCACAAAAACTTTGACAGCTTTTGAGCAGGTTTCAGAAAATTGTTTCCCGGCCCTTTAAGGGGCCAGTTCTATTTCACAACCTTCCTCAAACACTCAAATGTTTTGTGCATAATCTACATGCTAAATGCTCCAACTTTTGTTAATGGATCAATATCATAACATGAACCTAAATTTTTTTATTTTAATTTTTGTTTAAATTGACATTTTCACAATTTCAAATTATGGTAAGTGACTTAATATTTCACTAATTTTTATTTTTGATTCTCATAATTGTTGTAAAAATTATGAGAATCGTTCAGAAACTGAATTTTTTATCCAGTCTCAAAGTTAAAAGTCCTGTTTATACAGAAAAATGATGGTAAATGTCTTGACAATAAATGTAGTACTGTAGTTCAAACTGATGTCATATCTTGTAAGTTTATTAAATATTGCTTGGCATTTGTACTCGAATATGAGAAAGTTGTAGGTCAATGTGTGTTGAAATGAAGTCAAGAAAAAATAACCCCACAAAAAAAACAAAATATAGGGATAATTATAATGGGTTAAGGGATGTATAAGTATACAGTACTTTATATAAGTGATAAAGCCCTCATCTGGTTCTCATTCAGCAAAAACAACCTAAAGAGACAAAGAAAACAGGGCATAAAAGCTGTGAATAACTCTGCAAAAACAGTTAAAAGAAAAAAAAGTCAAAAGTTCTGCCACCTGTAGTTGAATTACATGTTGACCAATTTCGTTGCAACTTCACATACTTAGTGATGGGTATGCATTCTCCAAGATGTAGACGCTACAACAAAATCAGATTATAAACAAAGGAGAAAAAAAAATACCCCCCCCCCAAAAAAAATAGTGGAACTAACAGATATTGCCATTGGATAATGTATTTATATGATATATAATAAGATACAGCAACATAACATCCTTACTCATTATTATTTGTGTTATTATGTATTACTCAGCAATGCTAGAAAGGCACCAGTTGCATGTCCACTTTGTGGACCCTGCATACTACTATTCTTCTTTGTGCATCAGAATGATACTTGCTTCTCTTTATTACTACATTATCCCTTAGATGCAGTTAATAGGAGCTCTTCTCCTTATCATTTTTTTTTGTAAATTCATATAAAATCCATTTCTTAACATATTGGGATGACACTTTCATGATGCTGATGCCAAATAATTGGTATTTTGTTTAACATTTTCAAGTAATTTTCATATACAGTAATTTGAATATTTGTTGAACTCCCGGCCATTTCCTTAAATGTACAGTCAGTCCTGAGAGTATACTTTACATTACAACCATTAATGCTTTACAAATACTTTGGCTCACAATTTCATTCTCTAAATAAAATTCAGAAAACTGTTTGTCATTTTCTATACTCACCTGCCTCTCGCAACTTGCTGAAAATAAATATGTAATCTAGTTCCCCTGGGCATGATGGCTCATGCCGATGAGGAGCTTGGGCTATCTGCACATGTCCTACAGGAATAACACACATTATTGGTAATCTGTTTACATGCCTACTACTATTATTCTATTGTTTTGTATGATTACAATACAGTTTCTCCATTTTATAAACATGTACTATATATGCCAAATATCAACACAAAAAATCAAGCTAGTCAAAAAACATTTAAAATCAATATGAAATATAGAAAGAGCAAATAATTTTGCATAGCTGATACAGAAAGAAGTAAATAGTGGTTCAACTCAATGATTAAAACACAGCTACTTACAATACCTTACAATAACACCTCCAAAAAATACCTGATCAACCAGGCTGTGACTCATATGTCAGGCTGCGAGCAGCCGCATCCAACAGCCTGGTTGACCAGTCCAGCAACGAGGAGGCCTGGTCGACGACCAGGCCGCGGGGTCGCTAAGCCCTGAAATCACCTCAAGGTAACCTCAAGGTATACCAATCATACTAACCAATAAGAGGTGCAAGCTTCTTAATGTTGTTAGAAACGTTGCCACAAATCATCTGCAGGTGGAAGATGTCAAGCTGAAGTCGTAGGTTGGGAGAGTTGATCTTCTCTATTACAGACACAGCTGAAAAGTTACATAAAGTGCACTAAAATTATCATTATACTAATTAAAACAACTTGATAACAGATTAAGAATAATTATAATACAGTACTCCTGATCAAAAAAAAGGAATGGCTGCACACATTCCATTCATCTAATGCTTCTGTTCACCAAGCAAATAGGTACCCAGGAGTTAGGTGACTGTTGTGGATGGTCCTGCATCAGGCCATCTTGGAGTGGGTAGCTTGTGGCATGGTAGAAATTACTACATCGCTGCAGTGGGTGTCCCATCTCTTTCCAGTCTCGAAACAAGATTCAGCAGAGCTCTGATTCATCCTCGATCTTTCAGAGATGAGACCAGTACATACCTCGCCCCACTCTGGATGACCACTTTCGACCTGGTTCACCTGGTCTTAGATGTGAGCACTTCAATGATCTCCCTGGACTTCTGGGATGTGTTCCTATACTACAGGTTCTGGCTAGACTCTAGTGCAGCATCAGGCTTTCTGGTTTTGAGTTCTTCCCTTTCCTCTGAATCTGACTTCCGTGTTTTTTATCAGGGTGGCTCGAGTTGTGGTGGTTCGTCTTCAGTTGCTGGGGGTTCATGTTATAGCTTACTTCGATGACTGGCTGGTGTGGAGTCCCTTTCAGTCCGTGTGTCTGCTGGTCAGGGATCTTGTTCAGGAAGTGTTGGATGTTCGGGTGCCTCGATGTACACCTCTTCACATAGGCGTGGAATTGGCATCATCCTCTTTACACAGCTCCAGTCCCCGATTGCAAGGCCTTTCAGTAGATACCTTTCATCTGGACTGGTCCAGAACTGAGGGCTCAGGCCTTGGAAGGCCCTGGGCTCTTTTTTCCCTCAAACAAGTGGGGAAGGTAGGGTGAATGAGCCCACCCTAGTTTTGAGAAATTCAATCCTTTGTTTACATAGTTTGGGGAGTTCGTTAGGTTGGTTGTGAGGCATTGGTCTCTTGAACCCAGCAGTTGCATGTTTTGGTTCACTGATTTTCTCAATGCTTTCCCAAGTGAGATGACGGACCATCATCTGCCTCCTGCACTTCTTTTGAGAGGCCTGGTTCTGGCTCTGGTCCCCGGTAGGCCTGAAAACTCTGTAGCTGATGCGACTTAGTAGGTTATGAGCCACCTCAATGAGATAGCATCAGGGAGCCACTGGAACTCATCCAAAAATTGGAGTTACATTACAGTCAACGCTGGTTTATTTAGTTAAGTGTCTAACAAAAGCTCTAGTGAAGTACTGAAGGGGATGGCACAAAGAGAAACAGCATGGCTCCAATGCTAACCTGTATCATAGTTATTGAGGAAGTAGCCTGGGATGGAGACTGGATTAATGGGTTCTATGAGCCCAGTGATGTTTTCTTCAGCAAGACGGCCGACAGCATGCCTGAGGTTGGCCTCAAAAGTCGTAATGTGGGCACTTTCATCATGATTTTCACATCGACGTCCTGACATTATGTGAAGCCTGCAACGGAAAAGGCTCAGTTATTGTGATCTGAGTTTAGGCCTATGGAAAGGTGCCGAGACACTGAGGTCAATCAGCACCTTACTTCTACAACAGACATTCACTCAGTTTTAGAATAATATTCATACATAAAAACATTTTAACATAACAGTATTTTCATGGATATTCACCAATTATAATAAAAACGTACCCATAGTTATGGAACTCACTTGCTGCAGCCGAGTGCCTTTGCATATAAAATGGATCGCTCAAGACTATCTCTAAAGCGTGCCTCTTTCCCTGGAATGGCTGCAAACCCGAGCTCCCCAGCATGAGTATCCCCTAAAAAAAAGAAAAAAAATAGATGTTGAGTACTTAATATGACACTTTTTCTGGACAACTACACTATTGTCCCAGGCTATTAGACAGTGTCCCATCCCACTAGACACGGCAGAGATGCTGGGTCCTCTGACCTTCAGTCCAAGTACATTTTTAAACTCTATGCAAGGTCCTCTGATTTATAACTCACTAGTTTGTAAAGCAGTAACTGGCTCTTCTGGGGACACCAATCATCACTTAGAGGGAGAGGAATATAGTCAAATCATACACAAGATGATTTGACAAGGTTTCTTTTCTGTTTATTAAAACCATATACACACTGTATATTGATAAATTTGAATATACACTGTATTGACTTAGGTTTAGCTGTGTTAGGTTTGGTTGGGTTAGGTTTGTTAGGCTTTAAAATGCATTGGCAAACCATCTTGTAATTACCCAAGTGTAATTACAGGATGAGAGCTTCACTTGTGGTATTCCATCTTCCCACAAATATTTGTCATATAACACTTTGAAAGTACTGATAGTTTTGACCTCCACCACCTTCTCACTTAACTTGTTCCAACCATCTACCACTCTGTGAAAGTTAATTTTCTTACATTTCTTCAGCAGCTTTGTTTAGTCAGCTTGTACTCACCTAGTTGTACTTGCAAGGGTTGAGTTTCAGCTCTTTGGTCCCGCCTCTCAACCGTCAATCAACAGATGTACAGGTTCCTGGGCCTATTGGGGCTCTATCATATCTGCACTTAAAACTGTGTATGAAGTCAGCTTCCACCACATCACTTCCTAATGCATTCCATTTATAAACTAATCTGATACTAACAAAATTCTTTCTAATGTCTTTATGGCTCATTTGGGCACTCAATTTCCATCCGTGTCCCCTAGTGCATGTGCCCCTTGTGTTAAATAAACTGTCTTTATCTACCCTATTAATTCCTTTGAGAATCTTATATGTGGTGCTGATGTTCCCCCCCCCCCCTTAACTCTCCTGTCTTCCAGCAAAGTGAGGTTTAAGTCCCGTAGTCTCTCCTCATAGCTCATGCCCCTCAGTTCGGGCACTAGCCTGGTGGCAAACCTCTAAGCCTTCTCCAATTTAGTTTTATGTTTGACGAGATATGGACTCCATGCTAGAGCTGCATACTCCAAGATTGGTCTGACATATGTGGTACACAAGGTTCTGAATGATTCCTTACACAAGTTTCTAAAGGCCGTTCTTATGTTGGCCAACCTGGCATATGCAGCTGAGGTTATCCTCTTGATAACAACAAGAGAGGAGTGGGAGGGGGGGGCTTCGGGTGACAGGTCTGGCATGATATCAACCCCCAGATCTTTCTCTCTCCCTGAAATTCTGAAATTCTAGAAGAATTTCATCTCCCAAATGATACCTTGTATCTAGCCTTCTGCACCCTACACCTATCTTCATTACATTACATTTTCTCGGGTTAAACTATCACAACCATTTGTTCGACCATTCCTGCAGTTTGTCCAGGTCTTCTTGAAGCCTCATGCTGTCCTCCTCTGTCTGAATCCTTCTCTGTCTTGTGTGTGATGTGACTTGCATTCATATTGAGTGGTGCTCTGTTCATTTGCGTTATTAAGTGGCAGAGTTGGTGGAGAATTGACAATACCTGTACTCTTCTGGCTCCCATTCCTAATTATATGGCAAGACTATTTGAAAAAAAATTGTAATGGTGGGGTGAATATCACAAGAGGCCCTGGCATCTATACTGTACGGGGTCAAAAGTCCAATAGAACAAATATTTCTGAATCTGTTATTGATATTTCTATAGGGCTACTTTTATATAATTTCTTTGCTTGTTAAGGAAGCAATATCGGCTTCCTTAGAAATGATAGAAAAGTAGCCGTATAGAAATATCAATAAGGGATTCATTACTAATAAATTACCAATAAAAGGAAAGCTATATTAGATATGCAATAAAAATGCAACAATATTATTGAAGACCTATACAGTACAGTAGATAGGATGATACTTTTTAGTAACATTTCACACTGTTTAAGCACAGAAATTAAGAATAGAAAATTGAGATTTCTATCATGAATAGCCTTTTGTTGTATAATTAAATAATGCACTTGAAACTTTGTATAAAAATACAAAATAAATTTATTAATGGAATTAATACACAGCCTTGGCCATCCACCTTTCTCTCTAGTTAAAGTTTTAAACACCAAATGCTGCACAACAGTTTTAAGTCCTCAGCTCCCAGCCAAAGGATCAGGGTTTAACCCCCAGCCTGGACTGAAATGATTGGGCATATTTCCTTTCACCTGATGCCTCTATTCACCTAGCAGTAAATAGGTATCTGGGAGTTAGGCAACTGTCGTGGGGTTGCATCCTGGGGAGGGTCAGTAGTTAGCATAGAGTGACCTATGTAAGCCTAAATTTGGACATCCTATCCCCAACATGAGTTATTCAGATATTCAATTCATTCAAAATTCAAAAAGAAATATATTAGCCTACTGTAGATAGTTACAAATACAATACAGTACTGTATAATAATTCACCAACCTGGATCAGAGTTGATAAGAACTTGTTGAAGGCCTTGCTCTTTCAGGACAGCTGCTACCTCTTGCTCAGGGACGGAGTATGGGAAGGCACATTCAACTGCTAGGAAGCCTGTCTCTTTGGCCGCCTTGTAGCGTGCCAGCAGTCCACCCGCTTCCCCGAACATGAACGATAAGTTGGCTGCTACTTTCATTATCTTTACACTAAGAAAAAAAATTATTATTCATCTATGACAATCCTGTTATCTATAATATAACACTATAACACTATCATCTCTAAAAAATAATCAGGAATAATGGGGAAGATCTTTGACAAGTCCCCTTTGGGGTCACTAAGGATGGTGGCCCTCAGGTAAATTAGGTTAAATATATTTATAAAAAAATGCAGATGTGATTAGTGCTTACTTGGTAAGAATTTGCATTTTTTATAAAGCCACTAATTACGTGCAGTACGGTATAATATGGAGGAAAATGCATTGCAATATGTGCAGCACTTTTTAACCAATACATTTTTGCTATTAATCTTTTAAGTGATATATAAATGATAATGATGTACAACATGGTATTACTATAGGTATGTACAATAGGAGTACATTAACTATACTGAAATTCAAAAATGGTTATGTTCACATATGATAATTAGAGACTCATGACTACTTTCTCAATCTGCAACATGCTTGGTCCTGCTAGCAATTTTGGATGAGTTAGGTAGGATGAAGATAGCTAAGAAGCAAATAAAAAGTTCCCAGCTTGTCATGCTAATTCTATGCTCATATTATGGGTTATGTAGCACAATGGTCTATATCCTTGGCTCACAACTGAGAGACATTGGTTCAATCACTGGGCAGGACAGAAATGATTGGGCATTCTTCCTTTCACCTGATGCATCTGTTCACCTAGCAGTAAAATAGGTACCCAAGAGTTAGGTGACTGTTGTGGGCTGCATTCAGGGAAGGGTCAGTATAGCTGGCCTAAGGGGAACCTTAATTAACTTAAGTATAGTATAGGCTTTTTGTTTCCCAACAACAGGAATTGTAACATATGATCATGAAGTCTCCGTGGTGTAGTGGTAAGACACTCGCCTGGCGTTCCGCGAGCGCTTTGTCATGGGTTCGTATCCTGGCCAGGGAGGATTTACTGGGCGCAAATCCTTAACTGTAGCCTCTGTTTAACGAAACAGTAAAATGTGTACTTGGTTGTAACAACGATTCTTCGCGGCGGGGATCGTATTCCAGGGACCGGCCCGAAACGCTACGCGTACTAGTGGCTCTACAAGAATGTAACAACCCTTGTATATATCTCAAAAAAAAAAAATGAAAATTCAGAACAGCTTGCCTCGAGTGACTGGTGCCAATATATCTGGTAATACTGTACAGTACAGTATATAGAAAATAGCGTATGCTTATCACTGATGCTTATCACATCCTTATCTGTTGGTGGCTATAATATCAATGTTAATGCTCACATCTGGTGAGAGATATACAAATATACAAATACAAATGTTTATTCAAAAGAATGTGAGTACAAAGAACATAGGAATACAGTACAATTGTCGGGAACAGGAGTTACAATATCTGTGAAGCCACTATTATGCAAGGCATTTTGGGCAAAAGCAAAATTAAACCATATGCTGCCTTAAAACCTGTAGAAATTGTCACAAATTATTCAAATACTTGCAAAAGATTACTGACAAAATCTACCACAACTACTTGGCAAATACCATCCCTATTACCATTCCAACCACAACTATCATCACTATTCCAACCACAACTACCATCACTACTACAACCATAACTATCACTATTACAACCACAACTATCATCACTATTACAACCACAACTATCATCACTATTACAACCACAACTATTACCATTATAACCACAACTATCATCACTATTACAACCACAACTATCATCACTATTACAACCACAACTACCATCACTATTACAACCACAACTACCATCACTACTACAACCACAAATATTATCACTATTACAACCACAACTATCATCACTATTACAACCACAACTATCACTATTACAACCACAACTACCATCACTATTACAACCATAACTATCATCACTATTACAACCACAACTATCATCACTATTACAACCACAACTACCATCACTATTACCATTATAACCATAACTACCATTACCATTCCAAGCACAACTACTATCACTATTACCATTATAACCACAACTACCATTACCGTTCCACCCACAACTGCCATCACCATTACAACCACAACTACTATCACTATTACCATTCCAACCACAACTACTATCACTATTACCATTATAACCATAACTACCATTACCATTCCAAGCACAACTACTATCACTATTACCATTATAACCACAACTACCATTACCATTCCAACCACAACTACTATCACTATTACCATTATAACCACAACTACCATTACCATTCCACCCACAACTACCATCACCATTATAACCACAACTATCAACTACCATCACCATTACACGGGTACCCCAAACAGCTCAACAGCACTGAGAACAATCCGGATACCACAAGACGGTGAAATCCGGAGCCGGATACCGAGAGAGAGAGAGAGAGAGAGAGAGCCGGAGTGGGAGGTAATCCGGATGTGGGGGAGTGAGAGGCCGGCCAGCCGGACACAACAATGGCGGCGGCGCCCAGCCAGGACCTCCCTCCCAGGGGCGGCTATGCTCCCATAACCTTCGCCAGGATCCCTGCCAGGTCCTACTTCTCAGGTGAGGTGCCGCCCGGTCCTCTGGGGCCCAGGATGGTGGTCACGGCCGGTCCTGTGGGGCCCAGGATGACGGTCCTCTGGGGCCCAGGATGGTGGTCCTCTGGGGCCCAGGATGGTGGTCCTGCGAGGCCCAGGATGACGGTCCTCTGAGGCCCAGGATGGTGGTCCTCTGGGGCCCAGGATGGTGGTCCTGCGAGGCCCAGGATGACGGTCCTGTGGGGCCCAGGATGGTGGTTCTGACATTTGGGGCCCCAGGATGAGTCCTGATACTTAGAAAACCCTAATCTATGAGACAGTGTTTATCTGAGGACCACCATCTATCTAGTGGCCCCAACGGGGACAGGAAGCTGGCGGCTTATTAAATGTTCCTCCCATTTTTCCCGATAATATTTTCCAACTGAATTTTGAACAGCAGTAATGACTTGGAATTTCCGGCTTGTGTGGGTAGGCTGTTCCATGAGTTTATAACATTATCGGTGAAGAACCGTCTGTTTTCTTCACTTGGGGTGGATGTAGAGCGTTGGTCTCGCTTCATGCTGGTCAATCTCCGACTGTCCAAGTGGTTGGGCACCATTCCTACTCCCCGTCCTGTTGCAAATCCTTATCCTGACCCCTTTCAAGTGCTATATAGTCATAATAGCTTGACCCTGGGGGGGGGGGATCTCGATATAATCCTAACGTGTGTGAATACGCTGACTTCCTGTCCCTCGACACAATGGAATTATAATTACAGAAATTTAAAAAGTTTCAATGTCAACCTTGTCGTGTCTGATTTCAGTGTTAGTCCTGTGGCCATCGGCTGTTCCTTGTATGAACAACCCTGTGGATTCTCATCCTATTGGGGATGTTGTACATGCTGCTATATGTTGTGTTCATTTGCAGCATGAGTGGCACTGCCCAATAAACTAGACCTCTAGTGCAAAATTTTATATTATATATATAGGGCTTTAATTCCAGGGCGTGGTCCAGTCGTCGTCTTTTTCTTCGCGATACATGCAGTTTGCATGAAGGTTTTTCCTCCCGATGACTGCACGAGTGGTGATGTTGAAAGGTGTTGGGCTCACAGTGGTGCAGCAATGTTCATAATGTGGCAGAGATTGAACGTTATTGATGTCTTCTATTTGTGTGAGGATAAAGACAAATATAAACATATGAGTAGAAATGGACTAGGATGACAAAGATGAGTTGTGTTGATGGTGATAGCAAAGTGTTGCTGTTGTATAAAGTGTGTGGTTTTGTCAAGAGATGGTGAGTTTGTGAGTCTAAGTATATTTGGGAGTTAGTCGCAATTCAGATAAGTTAGGATAGGGTAAGTTAGAGTACATTAAGTAACATAGGGCTAATGTGTGTAAGGTTAGGTTAGGTTGTGGTAGATTAGTTGAGGATGGGTTATGTTATGTTTTCGTATTTTGGATATTTATGTCTGGGATGTGCAAGTCATACACAAAATGGTTTGTCAAAGCTCGGTTTCTAATTATCAAAACTATATACATTATATCATTAGATTAGAATGTATTAGCTTTGGTTAGGCTAGGTTGGGTTTGGTAAAGTTAAATTTAAGTTGTAAAATCCTTTGGTGAATTGTCTTGTGTACATTGTAATTTATAATCCTGAAGTCAGGGAACCTGAAATTTTGAGCACTGATATTTGAGGGCCCAGGATGATGGAGCTTTGGTATTGGAGGAACCTTGATCTGTAAGGGCTCTTGGATGATAGTGTCCTGAAATTTGTAGGACTGATTTCTAGCAGACCTAGACGATGTGGCCCTGATGTCTGTTTTCAAGTAGTATCCAAAATGATTATCAGGTACAAGCAGAACTTATCTGAATGCCATTAACACTAGTTATCACGACGAGGACAGGAAGCCTCTTTAAATGCTTGTTAAAGCTTCCCCATTTGTTCTGATGATTTTATCAAGTTAAATTTTACAATTCAGCAGTGTTTTGGCACTTATGGCTTCATCAGGTAGGCAGTTTCAAGAGTTAATAACCCTCTGGGTGAAAAAGCATCTCCTGTTTTCTCTCCTACACTGTGGCTTGAGCTTGAATCCGTTGTTCCTTGTGTGTGTTACATCTGACCTTTTTGAAGAAGCTGTCTGGATCAATATCCTCCAAATTGTTCAGTATTTTAAGTTACAATGAGATCAGCTATGTCATGTTTGGTTTGTATGTTGTGTTAGCCCTGTGGCCCTCAACCGTTCCTGGTATGGAGTGTCGACTTAGTTCTGAAATTATTTATATTGCCGTGTTGACCTTTCTCCAAAGCGGTCATGTCTTTCTGAAGATGAGGTCTCTATGCTTGGATATAATAATCCAAGTGTGGGGTGTTACACATTGTGCAGAATATACTATGTAAAACGTGTTATGTTTGCTTAAGAGGAGGAATAACATTGCGTGACTACTCTTGGGGCCCTCATCAAAACCCTACTCAATGTCTGGGGACCTTGACCATGGGGCCCTAAATGCACAAACTGAGTTGGGCTTGGGAGAGTAGTTGAACTAGAACCTTCTCCAGGCTGTACAATCCAAAACTGTGCCAGGCTTACAATTTCCATAATAGTGACACAAATCTTGTTTACAGTACTGTATATACAAAGTTTGATCTTTAATTTTGTTTGATTAGGATATTGCTACATAGCCTTCCCGGCTTGGTGCCTTCTTTGATAATCAATTACGTGATTAGGATATGTTGGTTTCAAGTGTAGTGATGACATACAGGTCAAACTTTTCCCAGGTCTTAGACCTGCTAGTTTAGGTACCTAGTATTATTATTATTGTTGTGTTCAAAATGTATTATTTTATTTTGTGATTTTCAGGCTATCAGCTGTTTGCAGGCTATGCAGTTGTGACATCTATTGCTGCCTACTTCTACTACAAAACATACAAGAAGATTAAGTATGTACCTTACCTAAAGCTGTTGGATATTTTGTATTTGTTGTTAGAATGACAATTTGCCATCTATAATTGGAGGACAATGTTTATTTGGCAATAAACATTGCCAAATAAGTACAATATTTTCAATGTGCCAAAGCATCTCTAGCCAGCTAGAAATGCAACATTTCATAGGTGAGAACCTGTAGTACAAATGTCTACATGCTCAGCTTGTTATTGAGAATTCTGGGTTCAACCTCTGGATGGGACAGAACTGGTGGGGCATAAATTGGGTGAGAGAAAGGGTTATCATCGTTATCGGAGCCGGTCGGCCGAGCGGACAGCACGCTGGACTTGTGATCCTGTGGTCCTGGGTTCGATCCCAGGCGCCGGCGAGAAACATTGGGCAGAGTTTCTTTCACCCTATGCCCCTGTTACCTAGCAGTAAAATAGGTACAGTACCTGGGTGTTAGTCAGCTGTCACGGGCTGCTTCCTGGGGGTGGAGGCCTGGTCGAGGACCGGGTCGCGGGGACACTAAAAAGCCCCGAAATCATCTCAAGATAAGAGATCATATACACTGTACCATTAATTATATTTTCCAGTCTGTTAAGAGGTACAGTATTATTGTTACCAATATTTGTATTACTGTAAAAAAAATTCCAACCATGTTTACTGTTCAATACCATGAGAGTGAAGGAAATAATGAGGAGAAAGCACTTAGCCAGTATGACTATATATTTGTCATACATGGATGGGATTAAGTGGACAGGAATGAAGAGAATGGAATAATGGAAAGATGCTCAACCATTTGGCCCATCAGGGAACGAACACTCTCCTGCAAGATGTGAGGCAGTTGCTCTACTCCCCTGTCAACATTCTTAATCACATTCACTTGAAACTTAACTCTTGTGTTTTAGCATAAAAGGGAGTTTAGGTTTGAGATCTGTAGATAGTGTTTTTACTTTGTGTTTATTTCTTATTGTTCCATTTTGACTTGAAAATTATATTTTAGTAGACACCTAACCCCACAAATCTGAGAAAAAAAGAAATGATGTTTTGGACAGCCTAAAATGTCATCATTTCCTTCGTTTTCAGATATGTAGGTTGGGTGTCTAAATTTTCAGCTATATTCTGCATAAATTTCAGTACTTTGTGTAGGATCATCAAACTGATCTTTATCTTCATATAATTGGTAGTGTCTTCTACAAAAGCCACTTTTAAAATAATGTAAAACATGCTATTGTCTCCAGTATTAACAAGTTCATAATAAATCCATTTGGTGAGTTTCTTTTGGGGCATAAAGACCACAGTAATATTGCATAAATAGGATGTATATTTTATTTGAAAGCACCCTTGAACACAAACAAATAAATAATTGAATTATTTTGAAGAAATAGGCTCCAAATTTCTCTAATATGAGGACATTTTTTGTATGTAGGATACGTGAAATTGAAAAGAGGAGTGGAGATCTAGCCATTGAACCACTACTGCTGGCCGAGAGAGATCGCGAATTCCTCAAGCAGATGAGACGCAACCGTGACGAAGAGGTCAGAATATTATTGAGGTTATTGGGAATGGTTTGGGGGGAAGGGGGTTGCATTTGTGACCCACAAATTGACTGTATCTGCTGGCATATAAGTCACACCTAAGATACAATGATGTTTTCTGGAAAAAACAATGTTTCATCATACATTTATTGAAAGTAATTTTCAAATGGTTTTGCAGGTGAAAACATGATTTTGTGCTTGTAAATAAATATAAATTGGGTTGGAGGATGAAAAACATGAATCCTATCTCCCAGCAATACAGTACTGTACAAGTATTTTAGTTATACTAGTACAGTATACAATAGTGTGGTTTATAATTATAGTCTGGAGTGTATTGCAATTTGTTTTTAAATGGAACGGAGATGGTGATGTATTGTCCCATGTTATTGTTTTAGCTCCTGAATTGGTTTGCCAATTTATATATAAAAGTAAACTTTTTTTAATAAAAATTTGTTAGGGCACAAAAGGGGACGGGCACTAAACAGATAGACTTGTTGACTTTTGATGGCTAGTTTATACTACTGGCAGTGTAGTATTTAGTTACATTTAGACCAGGGCTTTGCAACAAAGCAATCTTATTTTTTTTTTTACAGATGATGAGACTTTAAAGCTATGCTCAGTTTATACATAGAAATTTAAAGTAAAAGTATATAGAGATGCTAGAGAATGTTTGCAAAGTTAATCTAGAAGTCCTAATCTTTAATAAATGTAAGGCTTTGAGTCAACACTTTACTAGTATGTACAGGACTTTAAAGCACCCATTTTCAAGTTTTTCAATACTGTAATGTGGCATTTTTTTTTCTTCCTGTAGGCAAAACTGATGGCCAATGTTGAAGGCTGGGAGGTGGGGAAATATTACAGTGAACCCATCTTCAAAACCGTATCTGACAAGCGCTATATTGACCCTGTTGTCCAAGAGTACTACATTCATGGACCCTCATCCAACTACACTTTTGGTCCCTACTTTTCCCTCTTCACTTGAGCAGTGACTGATGGAATCAAAATTTGTGGTACTACTGCAGCCCTCTGGATAACTGCTTAAATTTGTAGGTTTCGCATATCTAGTTTGAAAGTGTACATACGATGTAGTATGCACATACCTGCATCATGCAAATAAATTTGTCATATGTTGAAATGTGCATACTAACAGTAATAGAAAATTTAATGGTAAAAGATGTTTTTTCCTACCCTCCCATCCCCTTTCTTTACTTGATAATTTTTTTGAGGGGGTTAATGTGATGCCCCAAAAAATCCACAGGAAAAGGGGCATGTACAGGGGTCTGGGAGTCTGATCCACCTCCCTGTGTGTGTGTGTGTGTGTGTGTGTTCCCCACCCAGTGATCCCCTCCCTGTGTGTGTGTGTGTGTGTTCCCCACCCAGTACTCACCTACTCGCCTAATTGTGCTTGCGGGGGTTGAGCTTTGTCGCTTTGGTCCCGCCTCTCAACTGGTGTACAGGTTCCTGAGCCTACTGGGCTCTATCGTATCTACATTTGAAACTGTATATGAAGTCAGCCTCCACCACATCACTGCCTAATGCATTCCATCCGTTAACTACACTGACACTGAAAATGTTCCTTCTAACGTCCCTGTGGCTCATGTAGGTACTCAGTTTCCACCTGTGTCCCCTTATTTGCGTACCACCAGTGTTGAATAGTTTATCCTTGTTTACCCGGTTGATTCCCCTGAAGATTTTGTAGGTTGTGATCATGTCTCCCCATACTCTTCTGTCTTCCAGTGTCGTAAGGTGCATTTCCCACAGCCTTTCCTCGTAACTCATGCCTCTTAGTTCTGGGACTAGTCTAGTGGCATACCTTTGAACTTTTTCCAGCTTCGTCTTGTGCTTGACAAGGTATGGGCTCTATGCTAGGGCCGCATATTCCAGGATTGGTCTTGCATATGTGGTGTACAAGATTCTGAATGATTCCTTACACAGGTTCCTGAAGGCAGTTCTGATGTTAGCCAGCCTCGCATATGCCGCAGACATTATTCTTTTTATGTGGGCTTCAGGAGACAGGTTTGGTGTGATATCAACTCCTAGATCTTTCTCTGTCCGTTTCATTAAGTACTTCATCTCCTATTCTGTATCCTGTGTCTGGCCTCCTGTTTCCACTGCCTAGTTTCATTACTTTGCATTTACTCGGGTTGAACTTCAACAGCCATTTCTTGGACCATTCACTTAGTCTGTCTAGGTCATCTTGTAGCCTCCTCCTATCATCCTCTGTTTCAATTCTCCTCATAATTTTTGCATCATCAGCAAACATTGAGAGAAACGAGTCTATATCTTCTGGGAGATTATTTACATATATCAGAAACAGTATAGGTTCAAGGACTGACCCCTGCAGGACTCCACTCGTAACGTCTCGCCAATCTGAGACCTCACCCCCTCACACTGACTCGTTGTCTCCTGTTGCTTAGGTACTCCTTTATCCAATGGAGTACCTTCCCTTTCACTACAGCCTGCATCTCCAGCTTTTTCACTAGCCTCTTGTGTGGTACTGTATCAAAGGCTTTCTGGCAATCCAAAAATATGCAGTCTGCCCACCCTTCTCTTGCCTGATTTTTGTTGCCTGGTTGTAGAATTCAAGTAACCCTGTGAGGCAGGACCTGCCATCCCTGAACCCATGTTGATGCTGTGTTAGAAAGTTCTTTCACTCCAGATGTTCCACTAGCTTTCTTCGCACAATCTTCTCCATCAGCTTGCATGGTATGCAGGTTAGGGACACTGGCCTGTAGTTCAGTGCCTCCTGTCTATCCCCTTTTCTTGTATATCGGGACTACGTTAGCTGCTTTTCAAATTTCTGGCAGTTCCCCTGTTGCCAGTGATTTGTTATACACTATGGAGAGTGGCAGGCACAGTTCTTCTGCTCCTTCCTTTAGTATCCAAGGGGAGATTCCATCTGGGCCTATAGCCTTTGTCACATCCAACTCTTTAAAGTGCAGCTATGTATATTCATGCATTCAAATTCAAATGTTAATTCAGGTAAAGTACATACATACAAGGTGTGATACAAATATTGATGGATTTATAGATAGAGATAGTACATACAATGCCTGCCTAAAGCCACTATTACGCACAGCATTTCGGGCAGGAAAAAAAGACAAGACTAAAACTTAATACTAATTGAGATTAAAGTATAAATTGTGTTGAGATAATATAAAATTAAAAAAGGGGGTAACATGGCAGAAAAATAGCAAATATACAATTTGGTCGACAAACAGCAATGTTTAAAATAGCAGACATGGGTTGACATTTAGGGGAAGGTAGGTTACATGGAGTTAATTAGGTAGTGCTTAGTTTTTATCTTAAACTGGTTGAGAGAGGTACAGTCTTTAACATGACTGGGAAGGTCATTCCACATTCTGGGTCCCTTGATTTGTAGAGCATTTCTAGTTTGACTAAGTCGTACTCTTGGAAATATCAAATAGGTATTTGTTTCTGGTGTGTTGCTCATGGGTTCTGTTATAACCTAGGAAGCTTTTAAGGTCAGGATTGACATTACAGTTCAGCATTTTATATATACAGTATATATATATAAAAGGAAGGTGCAGGCAGGCATTAAAAAAGCTTACAGAATTAATAATTTGGGTGTAAAATGCAAGGAAAAGTTTATATAATTTAATTATCTATGTAGTTACTGGTTAGGTGAGCTGGAGGCAGGTGGGGTGCCCTACCAGGTTTGTCAGCCCCGGACCTCATCTTGCTGACACAGCTCCATATACCAGAGGACTCCAGTGATGAGGTGTCCAGGTTTGTTGCTTCACTCGGTACTTTCACTGGTGCTACATAGCCTCCCTGGCTTGGTGCCTTCTTTGATAATTACTTACTTAGTATATTTACTAGTGTGTGTGTTGAATAACTAGATTTATGTACATATAATTTATGAAAACATGGATCGAGTACAGTAATAGCTGGAAGGACACTGTATTTAGGCATACAAAGAATGAATGTCTATATGTATTGATAAGAACTAAGGCCTGCAGAAATGCAATTATCCCATATGAGGCAGTCCCTTCATTACTTTGCATTTACTCGGGTTGAACTTCAACAGCCATTTCTTGGACCATTCACTTAGTCTGTCTAGGTCATCTTGTAGCCTCCTCCTATCATCCTCTGTTTCAATTCTCCTCATAATTTTTGCATCATCAGCAAACATTGAGAGAAACGAGTCTATATCTTCTGGGAGATTATTTACATATATCAGAAACAGTATAGGTTCAAGGACTGACCCCTGCAGGACTCCACTCGTAACGTCTCGCCAATCTGAGACCTCACCCCCTCACACTGACTCGTTGTCTCCTGTTGCTTAGGTACTCCTTTATCCAATGGAGTACCTTCCCTTTCACTACAGCCTGCATCTCCAGCTTTTTCACTAGCCTCTTGTGTGGTACTGTATCAAAGGCTTTCTGGCAATCCAAAAATATGCAGTCTGCCCACCCTTCTCTTGCCTGATTTTTGTTGCCTGGTTGTAGAATTCAAGTAACCCTGTGAGGCAGGACCTGCCATCCCTGAACCCATGTTGATGCTGTGTTAGAAAGTTCTTTCACTCCAGATGTTCCACTAGCTTTCTTCGCACAATCTTCTCCATCAGCTTGCATGGTATGCAGGTTAGGGACACTGGCCTGTAGTTCAGTGCCTCCTGTCTATCCCCTTTTCTTGTATATCGGGACTACGTTAGCTGCTTTTCAAATTTCTGGCAGTTCCCCTGTTGCCAGTGATTTGTTATACACTATGGAGAGTGGCAGGCACAGTTCTTCTGCTCCTTCCTTTAGTATCCAAGGGGAGATTCCATCTGGGCCTATAGCCTTTGTCACATCCAACTCTTTAAAGTGCAGCTATGTATATTCATGCATTCAAATTCAAATGTTAATTCAGGTAAAGTACATACATACAAGGTGTGATACAAATATTGATGGATTTATAGATAGAGATAGTACATACAATGCCTGCCTAAAGCCACTATTACGCACAGCATTTCGGGCAGGAAAAAAAGACAAGACTAAAACTTAATACTAATTGAGATTAAAGTATAAATTGTGTTGAGATAATATAAAATTAAAAAAGGGGGTAACATGGCAGAAAAATAGCAAATATACAATTTGGTCGACAAACAGCAATGTTTAAAATAGCAGACATGGGTTGACATTTAGGGGAAGGTAGGTTACATGGAGTTAATTAGGTAGTGCTTAGTTTTTATCTTAAACTGGTTGAGAGAGGTACAGTCTTTAACATGACTGGGAAGGTCATTCCACATTCTGGGTCCCTTGATTTGTAGAGCATTTCTAGTTTGACTAAGTCGTACTCTTGGAAATATCAAATAGGTATTTGTTTCTGGTGTGTTGCTCATGGGTTCTGTTATAACCTAGGAAGCTTTTAAGGTCAGGATTGACATTACAGTTCAGCATTTTATATATACAGTATATATATATAAAAGGAAGGTGCAGGCAGGCATTAAAAAAGCTTACAGAATTAATAATTTGGGTGTAAAATGCAAGGAAAAGTTTATATAATTTAATTATCTATGTAGTTACTGGTTAGGTGAGCTGGAGGCAGGTGGGGTGCCCTACCAGGTTTGTCAGCCCCGGACCTCATCTTGCTGACACAGCTCCATATACCAGAGGACTCCAGTGATGAGGTGTCCAGGTTTGTTGCTTCACTCGGTACTTTCACTGGTGCTACATAGCCTCCCTGGCTTGGTGCCTTCTTTGATAATTACTTACTTAGTATATTTACTAGTGTGTGTGTTGAATAACTAGATTTATGTACATATAATTTATGAAAACATGGATCGAGTACAGTAATAGCTGGAAGGACACTGTATTTAGGCATACAAAGAATGAATGTCTATATGTATTGATAAGAACTAAGGCCTGCAGAAATGCAATTATCCCATATGAGGCAGTCCCTATTTATACCCTTGCATGGGCAAATGCAAGGATATAAACTGTACATTACAGTATATGAATGAGTGGGTGTATAAAAATAGCTGCTGCCTCAGTAAGGCCAAAAGATCTTATGCAGTCCCTTTAGCTCTAATTGATACGTACATATCAATGAATGAATGAATGTACTGTATTCACCTAGTTGTGCTTGCGGGGGTTGAGCTCTGCTGTTTCAGCCCGCCTCTCAACTGTCAATCAACTGTTTCGAACTACTACTACTATTTTTTTTTCACATGACATCACAACACAACACATCACACAACAACACATCACATCACGTCACATCACAACACATCACATCACAAAACACATCACATCACAAAACACATCACATCACAACACATGTCACATCACAACACACAACACATCATGTCACATCACAACACATCACATCACAACACATCACAACACATCACAACACACATCACAACACATCACAACACACATCACAACACATCACAACACATCACGTCACGTCACATCACATCACAACAAATCACAACACATCACAATACATCACAACACATCACAACACATCACAACACATCACAACACATCACAATACATCACAACACATCACAACAAAACACAACACATCACAACACATCACGTCACATCACAACACATCACGTCACATCACAACACAACACATCACAACACATCACATCACAACACATCACAACACATCACAACACATCACATCACATCACATCACAACACATCACAACACATCACATCACAAAACACATCACATCACAACACATGTCACATCACATCACAACACATCACAACACATCACAACACAACACAACACATCACAACACATCACAACACAACACATCACAACACAAAACACATCACAACACAACACATCACAACAAATCACAATACATCACAATACATCACAACACATCACAATACATCACAACACAACACAACACATCACAACACATCACAACACAACACATCACACCACAACACATCACATCACAACACATCACATCACAACACATCACATCACAACACATCACAACACAACACGTCACAACAAATCACAACACATCACAACACATCACATCACAACACAAAACACATCACAACACATCACAACACAACACATCACAACACATCACAACACATCACATCACATCACAACACATCACAACAAATCACAACACATCACAATACATCACAACACATCACAACACATCACACCACAACACATCACGTCACATCACACCACAACACATCACGTCACATCACAACACAACACATCACAACACATCACATCACATCACAACACAACACACCAGGAAGCAGCCCGTGACAGCTGACTAACTTCCAGGTACCTATTTACTGCTAGGTAACAGGGGCATAGGGTGAAAGAAACTCTGCCCAATGTTTCTCACCGGCGCCCAGGATCGAACCCGGGACCGCAGGATCACAAGCGTGCTGTCCGCTCGGCCGGGTGGGGGCTGACCCAACAATGTGTGTACAATGTGTGGATTATATGAACTCAGGGACCGCAGAAGACCTATTGGCCTATATGAGGCAGCTCCTATTTATAGCCACCCAAACTCATTCATATACTGTATATGAATGAGTTTGGTGAATATAAATAGCTGCCTCATACAGGATTGATTGATGAAGATTAAGCCACCCAAGAGGTGGCACGGGCATGAATAGCCCGTAACTCATACAGGCAAAGATGTTTGTTTAGCAATATGGGCTGCGCGTTGTTGGAACGCGTCCAGCGGGGCTGCACCTTCTCGTACTTTACTCTCCAAAACGGCGCCAAATATTCACATTTTGCGGCTCTTGTCAACTATTTAAATATTTGTAAGACAAAATATACTGTGCTTGTGTATTTACCAAAGAGTATTTGGTAATACATAAAGTTGTATATTTGTTTACAAATATAAAAGATAAATTGAATGTTAAAGATGGTAATGTAGCTTGACTAAATATAATGTAAGTAGGATATAATTTGGTGGTGTGTAGGCGCGACTGACTGTAAGATGACCGAGGCCGAGAGTCGAGCTTTAGCTCTTGTCCTCCTCCTCCTCCTCTCCCTTCACCCGTCTAGTTACGGACACACAAGATAGTAAATAGCCATAAAAAAGACCAAATGCTCCGCTGGACCTTAAAAAAAATAATAATAAAAAAAATAAAAATAAAAAAAAATAAAGAACGAAACAAAAAACAAAGTAGGAAATAAAAAATAAAATTTCGTAAAAACAAAAAAAAATACAAAAAATACAAAAAATACAAAAAATAAACTAAAATAAAAAAGGAAAAAAAGAAAAAAACAATAAATACAAAAAATAGATATAAAAATAAAGAAACAAAAATAAATGATAAAAAAACATAAATAAATATATACAAAAAAAAGAAACAAATACAAAAATAAAATAAAAAACAAAAATACAGCAGAAGCAGAAATAATAACAATAAAAAAAATAAAAAAAAAATAAAAAAATAAAAAGAATAAAAAAAAGAAGAAATAATTAAAGAAGAAATATAAATAAAAAAAAAATATACATAATAAAAAAAAAATAATAAAATTAAAATATAAAAACAAAATTCAACAGATAAAATTACAATAAAAAAAATAAAAAAAGTAAATAACGAAATAATCCAAAAGAAAGAGTAAAAAAGAAAAATAAAAAAGGAAAGAAAAAAAAAACGAAATTAAAAAAAAATAAATAAATAAATAAAAAATTGAGTGCTGGGACCACAAGAGCCGGAACATGAGCGGCTGCCCCAGGGGGGGGGGGGGTCACCGGCAGAGTATCCACGTCAGCCGGTACATCAGCAGCTGTGCCCGGCCCGAAGGCAGCTGTGCCCGGCCCGAAGGCAGCTGTGCCCGGCCCGAAGGCAGCTGTGCCCGGCCCGAAGGCAGCTGAGCCCGGCCCGAAGGCAGCTGTGCCCGGCCCGAAGGCAGCTGTGCCCGGCCCGAAGGCAGCTGTGCCCGGCCCGAAGGCAGCTGTGCCCGGCCCGAAGGCAGCTGTGCCCGGCCCGAAGGCAGCTGAGCCCGGCCCGAAGGCAGCTGTGCCCGGCCCGAAGGCAGCTGAGCCAATACCTGCCGGATCACAGGCAGGGATCACATCAGCGGCAAAACAAATGAGTCGCGAAATTATAATAACCAGTATGGATAATTGAATATGAGGATAATAATAAACAGGGAAAGTGGATAGACATAACGAGAAATAATGACTGAATAATAATTGAGACCCCGTTTGTGTGGTCAGTTAGTGTATACAGCATCGAGTAATGTGGTATAATCATTGTTCCTTATCACAAAATAATAAGCGCCGGGGGGGGGGGGGACGAATATAATAAAGAATAATAATAAATAATAACACTAAAGAATAATAACACTAAAGAATAATAACACTAAAGGATAACAATACTAAGGAATAATTGACAGTATTCGGCTGAAACGAATCTTCGGGCCGAAGTAATTCTTGACTTACTAAAGATAATATAAGCATAAAGAAAGCTGTTCTTTCTTAAAGTAAAGACTCTTATCAAGTTCAAGTTCAAGTATGTTTATTGAGATAAGCAATAAATACATCTCAACTAATTCTTGACTTACTAAAGATAATATAAGCATAAAGAAAGCTGTTCTTTCTTATAGTAAAGACTCTTATCAAGTTCAAGTTCAAGTATGTTTATTGAGATAAGCAATAAATACATCTCAACGGGATAGAGTAGCTTAGGCTATTTCTACCCCCCTAATTAACTGAAGCCTCAGCTGCTGGATCATCAGCTGGGCCGCGCCAGCCGGAACTTCAGCAGCTGGGTCATCGGCTGGGACCTTGCCAGCCGGAACTTCAGCAGCTGGGTCATCGGCTGGGACCTTGCCAGCCGGAACTTCAGCAGCTGGGTCATCGGCTGGGACCTTGCCAGCCGGAACTTCAGCAGCTGGGTCATCGGCTGGGACCTTGCCAGCCGGAACTTCAGCAGCTGGGTCATCGGCTGGGACCTTGCCAGCCGGAACTTCAGCAGCTGGGTGAATAAATAATTATAAAGAATAAATAATAAAGAATAATAACAATAAAGAATGACAAAAGTAAGGGCGACGAACCAGCCAGAGATTAACAATCGCTTGCGCACTGCTCAGTTATACGACATTGAGTAATGTGATACAGCAGTTGTTCTCTATACAATAAATAAGAATAGATTAATGACGATTATAATAAAGAATAATAATAAAAATAACTATAAAGGATAACACTAAAAAAGTAAAGTTGGCTGGATTCGGCCGAATCGATTCTTCGGAACTGAGGTAAATCTGGAATTTATAAAGAGATTAGCATCAAGAAAACTTAATCTTTCTCGTAGGAAAGAATCTAGATAACTGGAGGGGCGGCGAGATGGGCGGCGCCCACCAGACACCCACAGGAGGAAGGAGGGCGTAGCAAAGCCCCTTGGGACCCCGCCTCGGGCAGGCAGGCCCCTGAGAGCCGAGACCAGATGGGCGACACCACCACTGTGGCGCCGCCCACCCCCGGCCGTAGTAAAGATATAATAAAAATCAATAAAGCATAATAAAAAAAGAAAAAGAAAAAAATAAATAAAAAGAAAAAATAATAGAAAACACAATGACAAGGCAGGGATCACATCAGCGGCAAAAAAGAAAAAAGAATAAAAAAATATAAAAAATAGATAATAAAAAAAAACAATAAAATATATGGAAGAAAAAAAAAACAAAAATAAAAAGTAAAAAAATAAAAAATTAATAAAAAAATAAAGAAACAAAAATACACAATAAAGAATAAAAAAATGATCACAAAATAAAAAAATAAATAAAAGGTAAATAAAAAGATAAAACAAAAGAATGAAGAAAAAAATGATAAAAAATATAAAAAAATAAAGAAAAAAGTAAAAAAATAAAAAATAAAAAAAATAAAAAAAATAAAAACAAAAAAAATAAAATAAAAAAATAAAAAAAAACGAGAATAATAAAATAAAGAAAATAAATGATTAAAAAAAGAATATGAAAGTAAAAATAGAAAAAATAGATCAATATGAAAAAATAATAAAAAAAAAAAAAAAAATAAAAATATTTACCTGGCCACGTGGGGAAAAATATAAAAAATAATAAAAATAAAAAAGAATAAAAACAAAAAAAAACAAAAAAAAGAATCAATAAAAGAGAAAAAAATCAACAATATAAAAATAAGTAAAAAAATAAAAAATAATAATTAATTAAAGCTGGGCCTCGCCCAGGAAAATAAAATGAATACACACAAAAAAAGTACATTAAAATCTAAAAATAAAAAAAAGATAGTAAATAGCCATAAAAAAAGACCAAATGCTCCGCTGGACCTTAAAAAAATAAAAAAAATAAAAAAAAATAAAAAAAAATAAAACAAGCCAATAAAAAAAAGATAAAAAAATAAATAAATAAAGAACGAAACAAAAAACAAAGTAGAAAATAAAAAAATAAAAATTTGTAAAAACAAAAAAAATAAAATAAATAAATATCACAAAAAATAAACTAAAAAAAAAAAAAAAAAAAACAATAAATAAATAAAAAAAATAGATATAAAAATAAAGAAACAAAAATAAATGATCAAAAAACAACATAAATAAATAAATACAAAAAAAGAAACAAATACAAAAATAATATAAAAAACAAAGAAAAATACAGCAGAAGCAGAAATAATAACAATAAAAAAAATAAACAAAGAATAAAAAATAAAAAGATAATAAAAAAAAGAAGAAATAATTAAAGAAGAAATGTAAATAAAAAAATTTAAAAAAATAAAAAATATACATAATAAATAAAATAAAATTAAAATATAAAAAACAAAATTCAACAGATAAAATTACAATAAAAAAAAGTAAATAACGAAATAATCCAAACGAAAGAGTAAAAAAAGAAAATTAAAGAAAAAAGATAAAAAAAAAAAAACGAAATTAAAAAAAAAAATAAATAAATAAAATTTTTGTAGTGTACTGGCGAGCAAGAGGTCGCCGAATCCGCGCGCGCGCGTTTAAGTACCCCACTGGGTGCGCGCGCGCGCTACTTAGTCGGTTAGACACAAAATCATGGTAACACGTTTTCGTTCCCCGGAGAACTTCACCGCTTTTGGGGAAAGCAGTGTGACTATTTGATACTGGGGCGGTAGAGACGAGGGCCTCAAGGTTATATTTGAAGAGAATAGGACTCGACAAATGTCCTCCCACAAAGCTGAGGATACACATGGGGGGTGACGTGTATGTAGATGATGAGTTAAGTGTCCTTCCAAACCCAGAAGACACACATCCCTTCTTCATAGGCAAGAATTTATTGGTGAAATATAATTGTGTACTCGACGCCTCCTCATCCTATTTGTTTTTTAACATTAAGAATAAAACTTACAGGACCCAGCTATGCTGATGAGTCATAAATCATGACATTATGATGTATAAATGCCTATCTTATGTAAATTATGACCTCCAGATGCCTAACTGAACTTTAATAAAGTGGTGTTTATTTTTGTTTCATTATTTCATGGCTGCCTCTGTACTTACCTGTGTAAAAAATAAAAGTGTGTGTGTGTGTGTGTTTATCTTTACGTCTACGACACTGCCATCAACCGACTGCTGTAACCAGGACTAAATAAATATGAACTCCCACTAAACATTGCGTATCTAATCAACCAAACAACACAACATAATCATACGTTACAAACCTTTGCATTCAGGTCCTGAACCCATTGACTGTACAATTTGTAAATAATCGGTTTTTGCCGCCCGTAATCGACTCAAGTCCATTACATCCAGCGGTCGACCCCCACAGACGCATTCATAAATTTTAACATGCTGTTCATTCAAAACGGGAATGTTCTCAAATATAAATTAATATTATAGCATATTGTGCATATATAGGCATTGGTTAGGTTAGGTGTTTAGGTTCTGTTGGGTTATATGTAATTGTAGTACGTAGGTGAAGCCTTTAGAGCGTTGTGGTTCGAACAAAATTCGTCAATGAAGCACTTGTTCTGATCGGGGAGAAAAAACACAAGCCAGAATGGGGGGACCTTATTTATTAAATAATGTATACAGAGCAACTGCTGTACCACAATATAAATAATGTCGTATAACATGACTGAGTAGAATGCCAGTACTGCAAAGATGCAACTAAAGAAGATAAGTCGTAGCACATTAATAACAGAGCCTAGTGACAGCCAAAGCAATGTTATTAAAAAAAATAAGTCGTAGCACATTAGCAGTGCCTAGTGCCAGTTAGCCGTAGCAATGTTGCAGTACTCACAATCAGCTTAATGCTATAATTAAAGACAACACCAGAGTTGATTGAGTGGCACAGCCAGTACAGTATGTATAAAATATATTCTGTATACACAGAAGGCATAGAAAAGAATAGATAAGAATTTCCAGGGGGTAATGATATGCTAGTGCCTAGTTTACATGTAAAGTCTGCAACCCCCAACTTGCACTACAAGTGTGCACTTGACATATGGTAAGTAGCTGCGGGCAGCCCTAGACTTGGGGATCCGGCGCAGCACTCCCACTCCGCAGGCCAGCGCAGCCGGTCCCCCACCCCCTGAAGGGCGAGGTGCCCGCTGGCCGCCGAACAAAATTCGTCAATGAAGCACTTGTTCCGGAAGTGTTCGAATGAAATCAGTTGCGAGTCGTGTGTAAACCGTTTTTCATTTATAAACAGGGGGGTTTGGCGGGTGCATGGAATCACTTTTGGGTCTATGTTTGGAGAACGGGCTGGCAAAAACCCTTGATCAGCTTTTGCCGCCGAAGGCGGTCAATTTATTATGCACCCCATACTCAACCTGTGAGTAGTGGTGCAAGAAATAGATTACATAATAATTTATTTTCAATTAGGGACAATGGGTGTTTGAGATATGAACCTGCATGGAAAACAGATAAATTTCTGTACGAGGAAACACGCCTGCAGCTCTTCTTGTGTCGGCTGCGCATGCGTATATAACCGTGATGATTGATTGATAAAGATTAAGCCACCCAAGAGGTGGCACGGGCATGAATAGCCCATAAGTGGTACAATTTTTGTTTTCTCAGTATTCTGAGGTTGCATTTAACCATCAAGCTGTTATCGCGGGGGAGGATACTGCTTCACAGTCTTTATGAGGGTGTCCAGCTGCTGGACACCTTTGTTGACCAGGAGAGTGGCTGTGTTGACACCGTGATGATTGATGAAGATTAAGCCATCCAAGAGGTGGCACGGGCATGAATAGCCCGTAAGTGGTGGCCCTTTTGAGCCATTACCAGTATCAAGAGCTGATACTGGAGATCTGTGGAGGCGCGACTGCACCCTGCGTGACGGGAGATGTCTCCCGGACCAAGTGGTGACCAGATGATCGAGACACCGTGATTGATGAAGATTAAGCCATCCAAAAGGTGGCACGGGCATGAATAGCCCGTAAGTGGTGGCCCTTTTGAGCCATTACCAGTATCGAGAGCTGATACTGGAGATCTGTGGAGGTGCGAATGCACCCTGCATGACGGGAGATGTCTCCTTTGTGAATGTGTTAAGATGAAGATGAAGCCACCCAAAAGGTGGCACGGGCATGAATAGCCCGTAAGTGGTGGCCCTTTTGAGCCATCACCAGTATCAATAAATGATACTGGAGATCTGTGGAGGTGCGACTGCACCCTACGTGACGGGAGATGTCTCCCGTGGACACCGTTGATTGATTGATGAAGATTAAGCCACCTAAAAGGTGGCACGGGCATGAATAGCCCGTAAGTGGTGGCCCTTTTGAGCCATTACCAGTATCAATAGCTGATACTGGAGATCTGTGGAGGTGCGACTGCACCCTGCGTGACGGGAGATGTCTCCCGTGTGGTCAGTCAGAGTGAACACCGCCTTCTCTTATATTACGGGCTATTCATGCCCATGTCACCTGCTGGTTGGCTTAATCTTAATCAATCAACCAACTTCCCTTATTCTCTGTGGCTGTGCGTCAACACTTTCGCGCTCACGGTGTTAAAAAAAAAAAATCATACCCTTTGCGCTTTTGGCGGTTCGCGCGCCTACGCGGTAAGACCGAAAAAGTGTACACTCTTTTGACTCCTGACAATAATTGAAGGCGCACGTATTTAAATTTGGTATCACTGTGTTCGCAATAAAATTGTCTATAAGAACATACCTATAAAATGCCGCCAAAGCATAAGGACTATCAACACCAAATAAAAAACTATTCAGATCACTCGCAGAGAGCGCCAAACAGCAACAAAATGTTTCCACTCTCTTAATGGTTGCGAAGCCTACAGTTGTCCTACATCGCTAATTGTGGTATCATTGGAATCGCAATAAAATTCTCTACACGGACATATGCATATAAATATAGATTCAATGTCGTAGCCCACCCAAAACAGTGTGGGAAGTGGCCGAAGTGTTACCCGCGGCGGCATATCGGCGAAACTCGCTTTGAAAAGTGTATATTCAATTCACTGTCCTGACATTATTTGTCGATGTATGTATTTCATTTTTGTACCAATATGCTCGCAATAGAATGTTCTATAAGAACATAAGTATTAAAGGTCACATAAGGATGCGTTCGACCGGCAACATATATAAAAACTACGTCGATTATATTCGTCGTGTCAATAACACAATTGTTTTACCACGATGATTCACTGCCACGCCGTTCTCTTTAATAAGCTGTTCGGCCTTTAGAGAAAACGTAAATTTCATGGCAAACATTTGTAAACTATTCCCAAGTTGATCGGATAATAAATGGATTTTATACAAATATTTTTTCTCGTGACCCCGAGAGGGGCACGCGTGCGGTGTGATTAATAATATTGGTGACAACGACGGTCTGCTGGAATGCGCCAAAGTGTGGGGACAATGGTTCCAAATATGCCAAAAATATTCAATAAATGCAAACTCGTTCGATTTAATTTCAATCAAACTTTTTTGACAAGTTGTATATGGAAAGGGTTTTATCTGGTCCAAGTCTCAGCATCGTAGCATAAATAGGAAGGGAGAAAAAATAAATATTGAATTGTGTCAGAAAATTTCCAAAATGGTCAAAAACGATTATCAAACAAGTGTCAACTTTTTTTTTTTTTTTTTTTTGCAGGGCTATTCCTGCGCGGGCCCTAATCCTCTGGCTGGCCCTAAGCCTCTGGCTGGCCCACTGGGCGGGCCCTAAGCCTCTGGCTGGCCCACTGGGCGGGCCCTAAGCCTCTGGCTGGCCCACTGTGCGGGCCCTAAGCCTCTGGCTGGCCTACTGGGCGGGCCCTAAGCCTCTGGCTGGCCTACTGGGCGGGCCCTAAGCCTCTGGCTGGCCTACTGGGCGGGCCCTAAGCCTCTGGCTGGCCCACTGGGCGGGCCCTAAGCCTCTGGCTGGCCTACTGGGCGGGCCCTAAGCCTCTGGCTGGCTCACTGTGCGGGCCCTAAGCCTCTGGCTGGCCCACTGTGCGGGCCCTAAGCCTCTGGCTGGCCCACTGTGCGGGCCCTAAGCCTCTGGCTGGCTCACTGTGCGGGCCCTAAGCCTCTGGCTGGCCCACTGGGCGGGCCCTAAGCCTCTGGCTGGCCCACTGGGCGGGCCCTAAGCCTCTGGCTGGCCCACTGTGCGGGCCCTAAGCCTCTGGCTGGCCCACTGGGCGGGCCCTAAGCCTCTGGCTGGCCCACTGGGCGGGCCCTAAGCCTCTGGCTGGCCCACTGGGCGGGCCCTAAGCCTCTGGCTGGGCCACTGGGCGGGCCCTAAGCCTCTGGCTGGCCCACTGGGCGGGCCCTAAGCCTCTGGCTGGCCCACTGGGCGGGCCCTAAGCCTCTGGCTGGGCCTTTGGGCGGGCCCTAAGCCTCTGGCTGGCCCACTGGGCGGGCCCTAAGCCTCTGGCTGGCCCACTAAGTGTTGCTTGTTTCTGTTTTACTTGGGCGGAGTATGAGTATTTATGACTCGTATGGTCGCTTCAGTAAGATTTTGCCATATGTGTTTAACAACTTCTTCTGCTCTGTTGAATCTAAGTTGAAATCTTAATGGGTTTGTAACTGTGCACTGTGTTAGATAGTGTTCCAGTGGTCTGTTGTGGCTGTAACTATGTACTGTGTTAGATAATGTTCCAGTGGTCTGTTGTGGCTGTAACTGTGCACTGTGTTAGATAATGTTCCAGTGGTCTGTTGCGGCTGTAACTGTGCACTGTGTTAGATAATGTTCCAGTGGTCTGTTGTGGCTGTAACTGTGCACTGTGTTAGATAATGTTCCAGTGATCTGTTGTGGTTGTAACTGTGCACTGTGTTAGATAATGTTCCAGTGGTCTGTTGTGGCTGTAACTGTGCACTGTGTTAGATAATGTTCCAGTAGTCTGTTGTGGCTGTAACTGTGCACTGTGTTAGATAATGTTCCAGTGGTCTGTTGTGGCTGTAACTGTGCACTGTGTTAGATAATGTTCCAGTGTTCTGTTGGGAATTTCTCCACAGAGCTGACAAAGTGTCAACTGAAATCCTGTCTAAGACTCTCAGCTATCACAATAGCATATATCAATGACAAATTATAATTTGTTTTAATTTTTTTTTCTTATTTGTTTATCAGATAATTTGCACGAATCTTATACACCTGACTGCACGTAAGCCTATCTGTAAGGGTGCCAATTTTGGATGAAATTGGTTGATGTCAACCTCAGCCACAGATGGCAGCACCTTAGCTTAGACTTTAATATTTTAATGATTTATTTTTCAAGTAACAAACGACTTCAAACTCTTTAATTTTATTATACATGAAACTTACACCTTATATGTAAAGTTTATGTTTAAAATCTGTGGCCGTTTT